ACTCTTCATGCTTGCATAGAAATATGCTATAGGAAAGGGATAGAGTGTAGGGGATGATTGACAAGTGCACAAGAGAATCACAAATGGAATTGTCCACTTGGAATGCTACAGGGGAGGGGAAAGATGCATTTGATGATGTTATCATGCAGTGGAAATGGTGGACAATGATCCATTGAATATGAGAGGTTGGTGGGGTAGAAAGTGAGGTCAGAGGGAACACTATCATGGCTCTGGGAGGAAGAGGAAGGGGTGAGAGCATAAGTACAGGAAATGTAGTCGACACAGTCAACAGCCTTGTCAACCATATGTGGGGAGTCCTTGGTTGAGGAAAAAGACGACAATTCGACAATGTTGGTATAGAAGGTGACATCATTGGGACAGATGCGATGGAGACAGAGGGACAGGAAGAATGGAAAGGAATCCTTAAAGGGTGCAGGGTGTGAGGAAATGTGGTCAAGTTAACTGCGGTAGTCAGTTGGCTGATAATGAACAATAGTTAGTTGACAGAAATAGAGGCAAGGAAATGAAGAGAAATTGGACCATGTGAAACAGAGCTGAATGCAAACTGAAAGCAAAGTTGAGGAAAGTTTGATAGTTCGAAGCTTGATACAATCAGCAATGTACCTAGCCATAGTAGTACTGGGCCAAAGTATGTTCCACAAACCCCATAAAAAGACTATGACCCACACTGGTATTCATAGTAACACCTATTACTTGAAACTTTTCCCTTACTTCTGTTTTCAGAGATTAATATATTTGCTTTGGGCACATCTTGTGTTTCTTTTCATGTCCCATCATCACTTCCTTGGGCCTTGGAAGAATAACTGTCATCCAATGCTTACCGTTTCCCAGTCTCCCACAGATCTTGCTTTTGTCCTTGTCCCACCTATCCCTTGCTCAAAACCCATCGCATCTCTAACGTTTTCCACACAGCCGTGATGAAAGGTCATCAATCTGAATTGTTATTGCTGCTTCTTTATCAACAGATGCAGCGTGACCTGCTGCATATATCAAGCACTTTCTATTTTTAATATAAAAATAAATGATTAGTGCATCCTTTTTTGGAAAATGGCTTATGAAACAGTGGCTTTGTTCACTGCCATTGTTGGACCATCATTTTTAAAAAAAATATACAGTGTTCAATAACTGTGAGCAGGTCAAAGTATAACACAGATTACTGGATGAAATTTGGGAGAATAAAATTCTAAAAACGCGCATACCAAATTGTAAAACAAATACAGGGTGTCCTTGCTGTGGCTGCGGTCCTGAAAATCACGACTTCAAGTGAATCATACAGATTCACTTAGGTTCCTTTGTATATTTCTTATCCAGAAAAAAGTGTAAGATGAAATACTGTATTCTATATGTACAGTAATGTGTGTTCTTAGCTAAAAAGTTGCAAAATAAAATGAATCATGACTATAAAAGAAACTCTACATGTTGTGGGTATAGGACCTTTTTCAGCAAAAAAAAAAAAAAAAAATTAAATTTCAGGAACTTAGGAACAATAGTAGTCCATTCAGCTCATCAATTCTAGATCACATCTGATCATCTACTTCAATACCATTTGCCCACACGATCTCAATATCCCTAGATGTTATTAATCTCAAGAAATCTATTACACTCTTGAACCTGTTCCTTGACTGAGCCCCCACAGCCCTTTGGGGGAGGGAATTCCAAGGATTCACCACCCCGAGTGAAGAAAATTCTCCTCACCTCAGTCTGAAACAGTTAATCCCTTATTCTGGGATGACAAACACCAGTTCTAGGTTTACCAGCTGGGGGAACATTCCATCTGCATCCACCCCAACATGTTCATGCACAAGAATTTATTAAGTTCAATTAGATCAATTCTCATTCTCCAAAACTGTACAGCACACAAGCCCAGTTAACTCAATTCCTGCTCATAAGAAAACCCTGCCTTCTGAGGAATTAATCTGATGAACTCCTCTTGCAATCCCTCAATGCATGGATATCCTTTTTCACAAAAGGAGACTAAAACTATACACAATAATGCAGTGCAGTCTCACAGAGACATCTTTACTCCTGTACTCAAATCCCTTGCAACGAAGATCAACATACTTTTTGTTCTTGCAATGTTCTTGTCCATTCACGTCCTCTTGAAGCCTCCTTGCATCAAACACATTACATTCCAACCTAGTTTTGAGTCACCAAATTTGGAAACATTATAATTGGTCCTCAGCTCTTAATCACTTAAATAGATGTAAACAGTGGTGGTCCAAGCACTGACTTGTGGCTACCCACAAATGTAACAGCCTGCCATTCCGAGAATGACATTATTATTCCTTCTGTCTGCTTTCTGTCTATAAATCAATTCTCAATCCATACTACTGTATTAACCCCAAAGTCTTGCACTTTAAATCTATTTATGAACCTCCTGCACATTAACTTATCAAATGCTTTCTTAAAATCCAAACTTACCAAATCCACTGGCTCTCCTTTATATATGCTATGAGTAATACCCTCAAAAAACTCCAACAGGTTTGTCAAACATGATTTCCCTTTCACACATCCATGCTGACTCTGCCTATTTCTACCATTATTTTCATTCTGCAGGACAATTTCCACAATCTACTGAATTATGAAAGATATTCACCAACGCATCCACTATCTCTATGGCTGGAGAATTTATCAACTTTTCAATCCTGTTCATTTTTCAAGCACTGTCATTTTATTAAATGAAGTTTCTTTCAGCTCCTCAGTTTCACAGGTCCCTTGGTTATCTAGTACTTCTGAGAGATTATCAGTATCACCTCTGTGAAGATGGATAGGAAGGATGCAATTATCCCATCCCTAGAGATGGGAAAGTGATGAGAAGGGCAAATAAGTGAATGAACTGACAGATATTTGCCTCCTTCTCGCCATCTCCACCATTAACTGCTGCATGAGAACGTCCATGTGTCCTTCCATGATCCTTCTCAACTCACCACCAATTAAGGCCCTTCAGTGATCAGTTAACATCACTAATAGGCCTCAACTTGCCTTCGCAAAAAGTGGGAAAGTGGCTGCTGGCTGGGAGAACAGGGTCACCTACTGGCCAGATTGGGTGGGGTTGGAAAGAGGTCAGAAAATTTCATTTATTATAATTCTTCTGCTTCTATGTCTTATGGCCTTATGACTCAGGGCCGAACAAGGGATGCTGTCACAGGCACAAGTGGTCAGCCCTGTTCTTGAACTGGACTTCTCTCTCCCTTTGACTTTCACTTGATCCAAAGAATATATAGTTATCTTCTCACCAGTTAAGCACCTTAAGCCAGACAATCTCTAGATTCAGAGACAGGTAGCTCCTGTTGGTCAGTATTGAAGCTCCTGATTTGTCACAAAGTTAATTCTTAAGGGCTGGTTGAAGCTTGATCCAGCGAGCTCTTTCACTGGTGCGTCACCTCTGAAGATGCCGACCCCACACTTTTAGCATTTCGTGCACTTTGTCCACCAAAGTAATTGTTTAGTTTCTCCATCATTTCTCTGTACTATAAATTCCCCTGTCCACACCTGTATAGGGCTCACGTGACCAAGCTAATCTTTTTCCTTTCCACAAACCTAAAAGAAACTTTCATAGTCCACCTCTTAGTTTCTCACTATCTTGCGTTCATCTCCTCTCCTTCTTTATCAATTTCTTGGTCATCCTTTGCTGGGTTCAAAGGCTGCTCCTAGAACACAGGCTGACCACTTTTTCTGGTATCCTTAGAAGCTACATCCTTTTTACAAATGCAATCTCTAACTTATTTATTAGTCACTGTTGATTCACCTTTCCCATTGGTGTTCGTGCCTTAGAAAAATGTAGATCTGTTATAGACCATGTAATAGTTCTTTAAATATGAGCCATTGCCAAGCTACTGTCAAAATATTTCAGTGAATTTTCCCAATCACCATTTCTAACTTGCTCTCCATTTAAACAATACATTACTTCGTTGTTCTGTGAAAGTGGAGAAGTTCACATTTTCCCACATTATGCTCCATCTGCCAATGTTTTGCCTACTCACTTAACCTATCAATATCCCATTGCTGTCTCCTATATCCTCTTAATAACCTACTCTTCCACCTCTCTTGTGCTATCAACAAATTTAGGAGGCATACATCATAGTCCCATTATCCAAATCACAAAGATAAACTGTAAATAAGTAAAGGCCTTATCTAATCCCTGCAGCATGTGACTTACTACATCTTGCCAACCAGAAAATGACCTATTTATGCCTACTCTCCATTTCCTGTTTGCTAAGCAATCCTCCATCCTTGCTAATATCAAACCCTACATCACGAAGTCTCATTTTTTGGTTACTTTTGATATCATTAGATCACAACTAATTCTTTAACAATACAACATTCCAGTTTAACATCAACACATTAGTATGTGGAATGAACTACCAGAGAAAGAGGTGAATGCAGGCACAGTTACAACGTTTAAAAGACATTTGGGTAAGTTCATGAAAAGGAAAGGTTTGGGAGGATATGAGCCAAATGCAGGCAGGTGGGGCTAGTTTAGTTTAGGAACCCATGGTGGGCGGGGACAGGTTGGACCAAAAGGTCTGCTTCCATGCTGTATGACTATATGACTACATTTCTTACATCACAGAAAGGATGCAAAACAGATCTGCTCAGATGATACCAGTTACAGACTGGAGAAACTGGGGCTGTTTTTAAGAAATAAGTGAATGAAGCATTAAAATTATATGGCATAAATTTAAGATCAAAATAATGAAAAGAAATGATGGGAAAGTTTATGAGATAGAAGGTGGACAAATACTTGAATGATACAGACTTGAATGAGTATTTAGAAACAGTAGGGAATAGGAATAGGAATTAAATAGATTAAATTTAAAGAGACTTCCTAAGACCAGATGGCATCTCACTGCTAATGTTCAAAGAAAACCTCAAAGTTAACCATGTCTACGAACACCATTGTCAATATGTTCAAGAACTTTACTCAACTTAATCTTGAAGAGAATTTCTGTAATTAAAACCAAGAGTAACCATTCTACCTGTCTGTCTGGTAGTGATCCGAACAAAACTTTGTCCTCATCAATAAGAATATTCTCTGCGGGAGGGGAAAAGTAGTGTTAAAAGTAGCAATAGCTGTTTTATTTTGTAACTTTATATATAGAACATTGTACATTGATAAACTTGTCAACGAAATTCCAATATTATCTGAAGTACAGTTTGCTAAGGTAGATAGAAACAATTTTCTCTGGTGGGGGGTGAACAGAACTTTAAAATCAAAGCTAGACTACTCTGGAGCAAATTTCAGGAGCAGTTGTTCAAATATAGAATGGCAGAATGTCTCCCACACTAGCCCTCCTACCAAAAGCTGTGAAGGTTGGGAGAAAACAGAATTTAGATCAATTTTTACTAATAATTACAGAACCCACAGCAGGGAAATAGGGTTAGGATACAGAGCAACCATGATCTACCTGACTGGTGGAACAGACTTGAGGGGGCTGAACAACCTACTCCTGTTCCTAAATGGCGTCTTTTAAGGCAGTTTATTTAAATCACTTTATAACTGGGTTTGAAAATTTCCATCCAATTATAACATCATAAACATTCTATGTGAAGAAATTGTTGGTGATTATTTTGAAGGAAGGAGGAGAGAGGTATAAGGAGTTGCTGAAATCTAGCTTATATCAAAATCTAATCCTATGTCCCTTTTTATTACAGACCTAGGCAAAATTCCTACTTACTGTGATTGGTTTGCTCGCTGAGCTGGTTGGTTAGTTCGCAGACATTTCATTACCATGCTGGGTAACATCATCAGTGCAGCCTCCGATGAAGCGCTGTTGTGTTTTCCCGCCTAGTATTTAAACTCTGGGGTCCGTTGGAATTGGTTACCTCATTTCCAGTTTTCCTCACAGTGGTGTATATATAGGGTCTAATTCTGTATGTTTATTGATGGCTTTCTTCGTGGAGAGCCAAGCCTCTAGAAATTCCCGGGCTTGTCTGTGTTTGGCCTGTCCTAGGATCCTGATCTTGTCCCAGTCGAACTGGTGGTTCTTATCCGTGTGAATGGAGACAAGTGAATACTGGTCATGTCCTTTTGTTGCTAGTTGGTGTTCATGTATTCTTGTGGCCAGTTTCCTTCCTGTCTGTCCAATGTGATGTTTGTCGCAGTCTTTGCACGGGATCTTGTACATCATGTTGGTTCTGTCCGTAGTGGGTAAGGGGTCTTTGGTTCGAGTAAGCAGTTAGCGTCGGGTTGACATAGGTTTGTGTGCCACTCTGGTGCCCAATGGTCGTAGGAGTCTTGTGGTCAGTTCGGATGTGTTCTTGATGTATGATAAAGTAACGAGTGTGTCAGGGCGTACTGTATCTTCCTGTTGTTGTTTGTATGATAGGCATCATTGGACCCAGCTGTTCGGGTACCCGTTGTCCTTAGATACTTGGTAGAGGTAGTCTTCTTCGTTTTGGCTTAGTTCCGGATGGTTGCAGCATGTTTAAGGACAACAGGTACCCGAACAGCTGGGTCCGACAGTGCCTATCACACAAACAACAACAGGAAGATACAGTACGCCCTGACACACTCGTCACGTTACCATACATCAAGAACATATCCAAACTGACCACAAGACTCCTACGACCGTTGGGCACCAGAGTGGCACACAAACCTATGTCAACCCTACGCTAACTGCTTACTCGAACCAAAGATCCCTTACCCACTACGGACAGAACCAACATGATGTACAAGATCCCGTGCAAAAACTGCGACAAACATCACATTGGGCAGACAGGAAGGAAACTGGCCACAAGAATACATGAACACCAACTAGCAACAAAAAGACATGACCAGTACTCACTCGTCTCCATTCATATGGATAAGGAGAACCACCAGTTCAATTGGGACAAGATCAGGATCCTAGGACAGACCAAACAAAGACAAGCACGGGAATTCCTAGAGGCTTGGTTCTCCAAGAAAGCCATCAACAAACACATAGAACTAGACCCTATATATACTCCCCTGCGAAGAAAAACTGAAATGAGGTAACCAATTCCAACGGACCCCAGAGTTTAAATACCTAGGCGGGAAAACACAACAATGCTTCATTGGAGGCTGCACTGATAATGTTACCCAGCAAGGTAATGAAACGTCTGCGAACTAACTAACCAGCTCGGCGAGCAAACCAACCACAGCATCCATAACCCAAGCTACAAATCTACTCAAGAAGCTTGGAATTCCTACTTAGTGATGTACAGATCCCAAGAAAAGCTCAAAGAAAAAGGTGAGACAGAGTTGAGGTTCAAACACATCTTCAGACCAAGGTTCTACCAGGCCATCACAGGACTTCAGCTGTGTTCTTGCTTCTGGTACTGGCTGAGGAACACTTATTATTAACTGCAGAGAGCAGGGGTACTAACTGAAAGCTCAAAGGGTTCACAACCATGATTCGTTCTTGAGAAAAGAGTGTTGACAAATGATGAATAGCTATATTCTGGAATTTAGAAGAATGAGAGGTGATCTCATTGAAATATATAAGATTCTGATGGAAATGTGATGGACACGAATTATTTACTCTGACTGGGGAATCTCAAAAATAAAGGTACAATCTCAGTATAGAGAGTCAATTATTTACGACAGAGATGAACAGAAATTTCTTCACTCAGAGGGCTTTGTACCTTTGGAACTGGCTTGCCCAGAGTTCAGTGAATACTTTAACACTGTAGTTTTAAGGCTAAGAAAAGCAGACTTTTGGGCGTCTCAAGGAATCCAATGATATGAAAAGCTGGAAGGAAAATGAAACTGAGTCAGGAGGTCAGTTATGACCACATAGAATAGTGAATCAGGGTCAAGAAGTTGTATGGTTGCCTACTCCTTTTTCTTACATTCTCATGGCTGAGCTGTACACTCTGAACTTGTGCTCAGTGATACAGAACACAGAATAAATATCTAAGTTCCATTCCTAAATTAAAACGTAATATCATGCATTAAATTTAACATGATAAAAGCAAAATATAGCAGACACTAGAGATCTGAAATAAAAATAGAAAAATCTGAAAAGTGGGTCTGACAGCATCTGCAGGGAAAGAAACAAAATTAATGCTGTGTCGAATGTGACTCTCCTCTACAACCAATGAATTACACTGGACTTGGAATATTAACGCTCTTTCTCTGTCCAGATATTATGCCACGGCTGAACGTTCAAGCCCTTTCTGTACTTACCTCTCATTCTATTCCTACTCTATCTGGATTCCAATTGAGTTACAAGAATCAAGAAGATAAATTAGTCAAATCTGACAAATGGCTCAAGAAGCTGGTTTGACAAAGGACTGAGCAAGGGATAAATCATTGTCAGTGGAATTACTACCTGGCTGGTCTGTGGGAGTCAGCATATCAACACCTCATAACTGAAAACACTGGATGTTGGAACAGGAGGAGGTCATTCAGCTCAAGTCTACTCTGTCAGTTAGATCTGCTTCACAATTCCACATCTGTCCTAGTTCCATAACTCTTCACACAGGAAAAACAGTTTGAATGCAATATATAACAAAGGGGTTAGCTGGCCAAAACAAAGTACAACTTTCAGAACGGTGTTAAGGTTGTTGACTTGCTCTTTGAGCTGGCTTGTATTTGTTCAGATGTTTCGTCAACATGCTTGGTGGCATCATCAGTGGCGCCTCCAATGAAGCGATGTTATTCTACTCCGCTTGGAATTCATATTGTCTGGTCCGTTATGGTGAGTACTGTCATTTCCGATTTTGATCCCTATGGGTTTATATATGGGGTCCAATGCTATATGTTTGTTGATTGAAGTATGGGTGGAGAACCATACCTCTAGGAATTCCTGTGCATGTCTATATTTGGCTTGGGCTACAATGGTTACACATGCAAAACAGATGAACTATCCTTAATATCTGTACATTCAGACAATGAAGGCCATCAGTTTAACTGGGACAAAGTAACCATAGTACCCCAAGCCAAACAAAGACACGCATGGGAATTTCTAGAAGCATGGTTCTCCACCCATACTTCTATCAACAAACATATAGAATTGGACCTCATATATAAACCCATACGGATCAAAACCAGAAATGACAGTACTCACCATAACGGACCAGACAATATAAATTCCAAGCGGAGTAGAATAACATAGCTTCATCAGAGGCTCCACCAACAGTGTCACCTAGCGTAGTGACAAAACATCTGAACAAAAACAAGCCAGCTCGGCGAGCAAGTCAACAACCTCATCCACAGCCCGAGCTACAGATCTTTGCCAATACTTTAAAGAACAGTGTTAACCCAGAAACTAAAAAATGTAGTTGAATACCTATGGATTGAATGGTAAAGGCACAAGCATTCCATGCCATCAACGGAACTCTAGAATCAGCTTCATTGGGAGCGACCTTCAAACCTACTCGGTACACGGCTGTAGCGAACAACTGCAGTATTTCAACAATGCTTTTAGAATACATGATCCTGCGTAAGTGCAAAAGAGAGCAATAATTGTTAATGTATTTTCAATTTATGTCCTGATTCCAGATCATTGGCCCTTGAATTCCCAAAATTTCTGTCATAGCAGCGGTGTGTGCTGGATTCATTTTAATCAGTGCTAAATACCTTCCAGGAACTTCATTTATAGAATCATAGAATCCCTACAGTATGGAAGCAGGGCATTCAGCCCATCGAGTCCACAAACGCTCCGAAGAGCATCGCACCCAGACCCACCCCTACCCTATCTCTGTTAGCCTGCATTTCCTACAGCTAATCCACCTAGCCTGCAAATCTCTGGACAATATGGGCAATTCAGCACGGCCAATTTACCTAACCTGCATATCTGGACTGCAGAAGGAAACCGGAGCTCCCAGAGGAAAGCCACACAGACACGTGGAGAACGTGCAAACTCCAGGTCACCTGAAGGTGGAATCGAACCCAGGTCCCTGACGCTGTGAGGCAGTAGTGCTAACCACTGCGCAACCAACAAACCACCACCACCACAAACCACCACCCACCCCACCGCCCCAACCGCCCTTTGCTAACATTTGTTTTGTAGCATTTCTCCCTGACAATGGGACGGATCCTATTCCCACCCAATCTCCGCAAATGCAGAAGATTCATCAGTGGGATTTGGGAAGCAAGCTCTTGGTACTGCACTGGAGTGTCAGGCTTAAATTCTGTGCTCATGGGTTTTGAACCCGGAGCCTTGCAACTTGGAGGTGAAAATGCTACTGATACAGACACAGCCTCCAAGGGGAATGACTGATCAGTAAATTTCCTGTCATACAGATTTATAGCTTGCTGATCTTAATTTGATCCTAAATTATCTTAACCTGGCCTCATTTTTCCACATATCCAACAAACACCTTCCCCAGAAGAATGGATATCAGGAACTCAAAGTGAGGAATCCAAACAAGTGGAAACTGCGCATGTATATTACAAGCAAGGAAATAGACTCTTTGGTCCAACTCCATGCCAACCAGATATCCTAAACTGATCTAGTACATTTGCCCATATCCTCTAAACCCTTGCTATTCATGTACCTATCCGGATACCATTTAAATGTTGTAATTGTACCAGTCACCACCACTACCTCTGCAGCTCATTCCAAACACGCACCACCCTCTGCGTGAAAAAATTGCCCCTTAGGTCCCTTAATTCTTTCCCCTCTCACCTTAAACCTATGCCTTCCAGTTTTGGGCTCACCTAACCTGGGAAAACAACCTTGGCCATTCACCCTATCCATGCCCCCATTCACCCTATCCACGCCCCTCATCATTTTATAAACCTCCAAGCTCAGCTTCTGACGCTCCAGGGAAAATAGCTCCAGCCTATACAGCCTCTGTCTATAGCTCAGACCCTCCAACCCTAGCAACATCCTTGTAAATCTTTTTTAAACCCTTTCAAGTTTCACAACATCTTTCCTATAGCAGGGAGACCAGAATTGAGTGCAGTATTCCAAAAGAGGCCTTACCAATGTCCTGTACAACCACAACATGACATTCCAACTCCTACACTCTATGCAGTGACCAATAAAGGCAAGAGTACCAAATGCCTTCTTCACTACCCTGTCTATCTGTGACTCCACTTTCAAGGAACTATGAACCTGCCCCTGCCAGGTCTCTTATCGTTAAGTGTATAAGTCTTGCTCTGATTTGCCTTTCCAAAATGCAAACCTCATATTTATCTAAATTAAACTCCATCTGCCACTCCTCTGATCAATATCTTGCTGTACTGAGATAACTTTCTTTACAGATCACTGCACTACCAATTTTGGCTTCACCTGCAAACTTACTAACCATTCCCCCTGTATTCACTTTCAATTCATTTATACAAGTGACAAAAAGCAGTGGACCCACCACCGATTCCTGCTGCACACTGCTAGTCACGGGCCTCCAGTCCGAAAAGCAACCCTCCAACCCCATACACTGTCTCCTACCTTCAAGCAAATTTTGTAGCCAAATGGTTAGCACTTCTTATTTCCATGTGATCTAACGTTGCTAACCAGTCTACCATGTGGAACCATTAAATGCCTTGCTGAAACGCCATACAGATACTGCTTTTCCTTCATAAATCTTCTTTGTCGCTTCTTCAAAAACTCAATTAAGTTAGTGAGACATGATTTTCCATGCCCAAAACCATGTTGACTATCCCTGATCAGTCCTTGCCTTTCCAAATACATGTAAATCCTGTTCTTCAGAATCCCCTCCAAAAACTTACCACCACGACATCAGGCTCACCAGTTTATAGTTCTCTGGCTTTTCCTTACCACCTTTCTTAAATAATAACACCACATTAACCACCCTCCAAATCTTCCGGCACCTCACCTGTGGCTGTCAATGATATAAATATTCTAGCATGGTGTTTCAGGTAACATGTTAACTGGATGAAATCTTTTATACATGTATTACGAGACAATACTACAATTAAATTATATTACGCACGGTGACTGTACTCCAAAGCTGAGGATGGATCTAAATTCTACAGGATCTTTCCATGCAATTGGGCTTGCTTGAATTAAGTTGCTTTCTTTTTCTGAGAAGAGAAAAAGGGGCAATTATTTCTGAATAACCTCCACATCAAAACAAGTATGTATTATATCCAAACCTGTACACTGATTTCTACAAATAGAAAAATAACACATGCTGTTTCAAGTGAATCAGCTTAATGAGCACAGAGAACACGTGTATTATCTGCATAGGTTCAGAAAATTACAAAACAAATGAAAACATTCGCATAATGTGTTTTTCTTTTCTCTTCATGGCCATTACTGAGGAATACCATTAGTGGGCAAGGTGTGGGAAGCAGCGAAGAGCTAAGTGATCAAATTGAATTTTTAAAAAAAATCATTTCTTTGTTATTTAATTTGTGGATTCTAAGCCATGTTTTTTGGCTCTCTTAGCATTATTGGTCACAAATGTCCACTTCATCCAGAAATTCGAAATGAGTAAATAAAGAGAAACTGTTTCCATCAGCAGGATGGTGGGCAACTCAAACTTAAGATATTTAACAAAACAATCAGACAAATTGTTAAGTCGCAGATTTTTTTTTGAAATGGCCTATGCTCTTGAAAAATCTATTGAAATGTGATTCAATTGCAACTTTCAAAAGGTAATTTTGAATTACTTCAAAAGAAAGCCTTCTCATAGGATGTGGGTGTCACTGGGACAGCATTTATTGTCTGTCCCTAGTTGCCCCCGAGGTGGTGGTGAGCTGCCTTCTTGAATTGCTGTAGTCCATGTGCTATAGGTAGGCCCACAGTGCAGTTGGGGAGGGAATTCCAGGATTTTGAACCAGCGACAGTAATTCACATCTTTTCCAGTTTTGCTATGGTTTGTGGCCACACTCGGTCAAATATGTCTTGGTATCAAGGGCAGTCACTCTCACCTCACCTCTGACATTCGGTGCTTTTGTCCATGTTTGAACCAAGGCTGTAATGAGGTCAGGAGCTGAGGGGCCCTGGCAGAACCCAAACTAGGCATCACAGAGCAGGTTATTGCTAAGCAAGTGCTGCTTGATAGCACTGTTGATGACACCACATTTCATCACTTTATTAATGATTGAGATACAGGTCAATTGGGAAAGCACAGGGAAATAGGACAGGCACATCACATCAAATCAAATAGCCTCCTCTGTCCTGTATGATCCTATGGTTATCTATGATACTTGAAATGTTGCCTCGCATGCCTCCAAAAAGCCAGTTACACAGTGGTACCTGCCCAATGAGCAGTTGCATGCAAGAAAACAAAGAGAGGTGGCAAATTTTAAACATTGCTGAACTCAGTAGTCTCTAAATAACTTCCAACTCATAAATGTTGATAGGTTGCATATCTCTCTGTAAGTAATTTCTTGTAAACCTCACTTGCAGCAGATAGCACTGAAACCCAATAATTAAACCAATCATAAATGCTGTTCATTAACAGTTCCAAGCTAGGGTTACTCTACTTGGAGCAAAGGAGACTGAAGGGACATTTGATCACGGCAGACAAAATTATGACTTGTTTCAATTAGGTAGACAATTTTTTTCTTTAGTTAATTACACAAAAGCTAGTGGATGTAGATTGAAGGTGTTGGGCAGTTTGGGGACAGGGGCACGCTAGTAGCACATAGATTTTTTTTTTTTTGCACTGTAACCAGAACTTGCCAATTTAGGAGAAGACAGCTGCAGAGCTACAGGACGGAACACAGGAATAGGACTCATTAGATTGCTCGACAATGAGTTGGGACGAACTCAAATGGGCTGAAAAGCCTCTTTCTGTGCTCTATAAACAGTCTCTCTGGTCCATGTAGTCTATCTTGTCAGAGAACCATATCGCACCAGTGACGACCATTTGGCACAGTGTCTGTGCTACCTCTTTGAAATAGCTAACCAATTAGTTCTACTCCATACCTGGCAATGAAAAGGAAGTGCCTCAATTTCCTCTGGATGTGAGTGATAGAATGCTGTACTTTCATATTGTATTGCATGGATTTGATAAGAAACTGGTTTGATGTCAGACTACAGGCAGATTGTTTTTCAAACTACAATGCCTTCTATGCTAAAATGAACAATTCCTTCACGAACGCACCTTTCGAGTCCGAAGCATTTGGTCCAATTAAACGTGCTGCTACATTTTGTAACCAGCGAGATAAAGTCAGTATCTGTGCTATAGTTTCTGTGTCTTTGCTGTAATACAATGAATAGGATAACTTATTAGAAGAGGACGTCCATAAATGGAATATTTAAACGTTTAAGTTCAAAGAACTTTACTACAACATGTCAACATTTTACAACAGTGAAATTGTTGTTTTGGTAATTTGTTACCACATTACCAGTTCTTACAACTCATACTTACACACTTCATCAACACTTATGCAAATGACATCAGATGTGCAATTAAATTGCCAGATGTATATTACCTATCAAGATTGCGAGCCTGCTGTGGAATAACTGGCATAACAGTGTTACACAGAGCTTTGCACAGTGGACAAAGAAACTCTCCATTCTCCAGATCAAACGGCAGTTCAGCATGGAGCCTGTTACGTGTTGAATTCTGCACAGCTTCAAAATATCTGCAGATTGGGAAGAAAAAAAAATTATGATATTTGAAAGTGGTTTCAAACAGAACTCCTAACTGAAGGGGAATAGCTGGTTTAAATGCATTGAAACATCAGAGATCAAGCCCCACTACTCCTGGCCTTCAGAGGACATCAATTTTAGCAATTGCCCAAATCAGTTTTTGTGAGTAGATGACAACAGTTGTTTGGAATGAGGCGATTATGCTCAAGTACATCATAGTATCTAAATCTCATCCTTCAGAAAATAATGCAAGTCTGTAGGTTTCTGAAATATTTCTGACCCAGGTCACAGAATCATATAGCCATCTGATCCATCATGCCACCATTCTTTGAGACAGCTGTTCAATCATTCTCCTTGTCTACAGCCTTGTCATTTCCACTGCTCAAATATTTAATGATTTCTCTTTCAAAAGTTACTGAATCCACTTCCACTCCCCCTTTAGTGGATTTTCCACTACAACAACTAGCTGATAAACGAATGTCTCATCTTCCCTCCGTCATAGGAAGGACGTTGTGAAGCTTGAAAGGGTTCAGAAAAGATTTACAAGGATGTTGCCAGGGTTGGAAGGTTTGAGCTATAGGGAGAGGCTGAATAGGCTGGGGCTATTTTCCCTCGAGCATCAGAAGCTGAGAGCTGACCTTTTGAGGTTTGTAAAATCGGCTACGACAGGATTTGAACCAAACTCCCCAGAACATTAACTGAATTTCTGGATTAATGTCTAGCGATAATACCACTACGCCATCACCTCCCGATTTAAACAAAAAGCTGGTTTGTCAGTGACCATGTAACCATTGTCAATTGTAATAAGAATACATCTGGTTCTCTAATGCCTTTTGGTGAAAGAAATTGACTGTCCTCACCTGGCCTAGTTTACACGTGGCTCTAGAGTCACAGCAACATGATTGACTCAAGTGCTCTCTGAAATGGTCTAGAAAGCTAACTAGTTCAACAGCAATTAGGGATGGCTAACAAATGCCAGCCTTGCCAGTGATACAAAATAAATGTGAGAGGTTGCTTTTGTGAGAAACACCATTGCTAAATGGGCCACACTAGTGCATGAACAAAATCAGAGTGTGGCTTTTGAACTTGTATCCAGCAGCAACATAAATATAAATAAAGGTCCCCAGGACCAAGAAAAGTTAGTGTACACTGGGGAGAAATCCTCAAGAGTGGGCTTCGAAGTTACTGCATTTGTAATTTTGTACAGATCTTCTTCTGTGTTTTTAATTAACCTATTTCCTTTACTGTCATTTGCCCTTGTTGTGCTGTATATACCTAATTTCAGAACTTTCCTTTTAATTTTCTGGCAGGTGGTTATTTTTATTTGTGCTGAAATTATTAACTGTACTTTACAGCAAATCATTGGCATTAAAGTCTCTCAGCTTTTCACAGATAATGGCCCGAAGCCAGGGCAAAGACAGCTTGTGGTTTGCAAATGTTTAAAACTGCATCAACTTTTGGATGTTCAAGAGTTGGACAGCCTTTACACCACTCATCCTGATTTATTTAAACTGTTTTATTGTATTAAATTAAATTGAATTCTTGTCCACATTTTATAGCACCTTTATAAAGTAAAGAAAATGTCCATAAAGTACTCTCACTGCATACACCAAAGAAATAGGAACTGGAGTAGGCGGTTCAGCCCCTCAAACCTGCTCAACCATTCAATAGGACCATAGTAATGGTACGATGTCATGGGTCTAACTGCTCATGTGCAGATGGATCATCACGGACATTTTTAAAAGGCAGTGCCCTAACTTCTGCATTGATACAAACGTTCTAGATGTTAAACTTTGGTTAAACTTTGGGCATTTGTTGTCAGCAAATCAAATTACACATCAAGGGCCACTTAGGAACAAATGTTAAACAAATACTGTACACTCACATAATAACTTACTTCTGCCAGCAGCTGGCATGCATCACATGGCCACAGCTTCCTACATGTGTACCACAGCCTAGGTCAGGGTGCATGATTATAGGGTCACAGTCATCTAAGTGAACAAGGAAATGAGACATGTCAAAATATGAGAACACCCCATTGATCATGCGAAAGGTATTGTGACAGTCTTTCCCCCAAACTCCCAAACACTGGAACTGAAGCAGACCATTCAGCACCTCAGGCCTGTTCCACCGTTCAATTAGATCTACCAATTGCAGTCTTGAGCATTTCAATTGCCCCAGCAACAACAGCCTTTTCAGAGAATATATTTCTGTTATGTGCTATGTGCAACAGTGGACCAATAAATGCTTGGTATCCTTCTCTAATAGGTGCCTCTTCTCAGTGAAAAGCCCCACTGCCCTATCTAAATATATAAGCAGTGTGGGGCTGGGCTTGAGCAACACATCCCCAAAGAATAAAGACAAAACCAATGCAGCATGAGAATAGAAGCAACATTTAAAAATACACCAGTCACCTCATTTGGAGGCTAACAACAAAGTATAACTTTCCTGAAAGCCAGAAGGAAAGGCAAATTACATTAGAAATCAACAGAACTGCAGATGCTGTAAATCAGGAACAAAAACAGAAGTTGCTGGAAAAGCTCAGCGGGTCTGGTAGCATCTGTGAAGAAAGAAAGGGTTCTGAGGAAGGGTCACCGGACCCAAAATGTTAACTCTGATTTTTTCTTCACAGATGCTGCAAGTCAAATTAAACTGTTTTATTGTTTTAAATTAAATTGAATTCTTGTCCACATTTTATAGCACCTTTATAAAGTAAAGAAAATGTCCATAAAGTACTCTCACTGCATACACCAAACAAATAGGAACAGGAGTAGGCTGTTCAGCCCCTCAAACCTGCTCAACCATTCAATAGGATCACAGCTGATCTAACATCTCTCACAACCACTTTCAAGTCTTTTCCTTGTAATCCTTGCTTCCCTGCCTACTTTAATTAACTAATATCAATAATCTATCTCAGCCTTAAATTTATACAAGGACTCTGTGTAAAGGCGTTCCAAAGACGCTCAATCCTCAGAAATTCCTTTTCATCTCACCCCTTTATTCTAAGGCCATGCCCTCTGGTCTTAGACTCTCCCATGAGGAGAAACATCCTCTCAGCATTTGCCTCATCAAGCCCTTTAAGAATCTCATATTTCACAATGAGATCACCTCTCATTCTTCTCAAGCCCAGTGAGTAGAGTCCTAACCTGTTTAGGCTTTGCTCATAAGACAATCCTTCCACGCCAGGGACCATCCTAGTGAACCTTCTCTGAACTGCTTCCATTGAAATAATATTTTCCTTAGGGGGTCTAAAACTGTTCACAGTACTCCAGATGTGATCGCACCAGCACTTTATACAGTCATAGTAAGACGTCCCTATTGTATACTCCTACACCCTTGAAGTAAGGGCCAACATTCCATTAGCCTTCCTGATTAACTATTGCCCGTTTATGCTAGCATTCTGTGTTTCATGCACAGGTTCCCCCCAGTCCCTCTGTTATGCAGCTTTCTGCAGTTTTTCTTCATTTCAATTTTACTGTTCTTGCGTTCTCCCTTTCAAAATGAACTTCATATTTTCCTCACATTATACTCCATTTGCCAACCTTTTGCCCACTTACTTAACCTATCAATATCTCTCTGTAAAGTGTATCCCTCTTGCAACCTGTCTTTCCATCTATTTTAGTCTTCTATAAATTTGGTTACAGTATATTCACTTCCTTCCTCCAAGTCATTAATATATATTATAAACAGCTGCGGTCCCAGCACTGATCCCTGTGGAGCCCCACTGGCGACAGATTGCCAACTTGTAAAAAAGAACCCCTTATCCACACTTGTTCTTTTCTGCCCACCAGCCAATTCTCTATCCATGCCAAAATATTGCCTCCAATACCATGGGTTTTTAAACTTATGACTGAACCTTTGTGGAATACATCGTCAAACACCTTTTGGAAGTCCAAATACAAATGGTTCCCTCTATCCATTCCGGTTAAGACTTCTTCAAAGAACAAAGTAATCAGTCACTATTACTCTTGGATGAAGATATGCTGACTTTGCTTGATTAGATTATTCTATGTGTATATTGTTACCTGAATACAAAAAGCTCCCCATTGCGAGTAAGCACCTTGCACCAATTATATTTTCATATTCATAAGATTTAAGAAACAGGAGCAGGAGTAGGCTACTTGGCTCTTTGAATGTGTTCCATCATTCCATAGCTTTTATGATCCTGGCCTAAACTTCACTTTCCTGCCTGGTTCCAAAACCCTTAACTCTGTTGTAAATCAGAAAATCTGTCCCATTCAGCCTTCAATACATTTAATGACCATAGTTAGAGATTAAAGACTCAGTGAAAAGATTCCTCTTCATCTCCTTCCAAAATCGGAGACCTAGGGGGAGATTTATGGCCTTATGGTATTATTGCTAGACTAATAATCCTGGTAAAGTTTTGGGGACTGGGTTCAAATCCCACCATCGCACATGGAATTAAGAGTTTAATGATGACCATGAAACCAATGTCGATTGTCATAAAGACCTGTCTGGTTCACTAACATCCTTCAGGGAAGGAAATCTGCTGTCCTCACCTGGTCTGGCCTACACATGACTCCATACCCACAGCAATGTGGTTGATTTCCAACTGACCTCTATGGTGGCCTAGAAAGTCACTCAGTTTTAACAATCACTATGAAATCTCAAAAAAAAGAAATGAAACCAGATGGCATCAACCTGGAAACTGGAAATGACCATGGCAAAAATAGCCCTGTTGACCTTGCAAAGTCCTCCTTACTAACATTTGGGGACTAGTGCCAAACTCTGGAGCGCTCTCTCAGATTAGTTCAAGCCTGACAGCTAGAAGCACTGGAAACTGCAACAGCTATGGGCCCTGACAACATTCAGGCAATTTTAAGAAGATTTGTGCTCCAGAACTTGCCACACTCTTAAACCAAGCTTTTCCAGTACAGCTACAACACTGGCATTTACGTCTGGTACACAAAAACGTGACAATTCCAACCTAGTCAATTACCACCCCATCAGTCTACTCTTGATCATCAGTAAAGTGATGGAAGGTGTCATCAACAGTGTTAACAAACAGCAATAACCTGCTCAGTGACACCCAGTTTTGGTTCTGTCAGGGCCATTCAGGGCTCCTGACCTCATCTCAGCCCAAATGCACAGAAGAGGTGAATTCCAGAGGTGAGGTAACAGTGACAACCTTGAAATCAAGGGACGAGTGTGACATCAAGGAGCTCTAGCAAAACTGGAGAAAATGGGAATCAGGAGAAATCTCTCTACTGGTTGAAGTCATACCTGGCACATCGGAAGATGATTATGGTTGTTGGACATCAGTCATCTCAGCTCTAAGACATCTTTGCAGGAGTTCCTCAGGGTAATGTCCTAGGCTGAATCATATTCAGCTGCTTCAATGACTTTCCCTCCATCACAAGGTCAGAAGTGGGGATGACCACTGATGATTGCACAATGTTCAGCACCATTTGCCACTCATCGGATACTAAGGCAGCCCCATTTCAAATACAAGAACTGGACAATATCCAGGCTTGGGCTAACAAGTGGTAAGTAACATTAGTGCACACAAATACCAGGCAATGACCACTTCCAACAAGAGACAATCTAACCACTTCCCCTTGACATTCAATTGTGTTACCATCACTGAATTTCCCACTATCAACATCCTGGGGCTTACCATTGACCAGATATTGTTCTGGACTAGCCATATAAATACAATAACTACAAAAGCAGGTCAAAGGCTAGGCAAGTAACTCACCTCCTGACTGATCAAAGCCCGTTCATCACCTACAGGGCACAAATCAGGTTTGTGATGAAATACAACCCACTTGCCTGGACGGTGCAGCTCCAACAACACTCAAGATGCTTGACAAATTCCAAGACAAAGCAGCCAATTTGATTGGCATCATATCCACAAACATCCACTCTCTCCACCACTGACGGTCAATAGCAGCAGTGCGTACCATTTCCAAGATGCACTGCAGAGATTCACTCCTGACTCCTTAGCACCTTCCAAACCCATGATTATTCCCATCTAGAAAGATAAGGGTAACAGATACATGGGTACACCATCACCTGCTGTTAAAACAGTTTAAAGACTTCCTTCTGACACAAAGCCTGGAATACCACAAATTAATCTGCCCTCCTGCTGGTGTGTAACTGATCTTAAAGAGTCATATACAGTCACATAGTACAGAAACAGACCCTGCAGTTCAACCAGTCCATGCTGCACATAATCCCAAACTAAACTAGTCCCACCTGCCTGCTCCTGGCCCATATCCTTCCAAACCTTTCCTATTCATATATCCATCTAAATGTCTTTTAAATGTTGTAATTGTACCTGCATCCAACACTTCATCAAGAAATTCATCTTCTCAATTAAAACCTGATTACTGCCTTGTCTGTCTTTTTGTAGGTTATAAAAGGTCCAAGTTTGTAATTTATTTTCTAGGTAGTTTATCTACTCATGTTTTCTTGAAAATTATGCTTGAATTCATTGTTCAAAATTACTTTCTGACCTTTGTAAATGAAACAAGTCACCTTCACAGAATTGGACACTAACATTTTACCACTATTTTTAAAATCCAAATTCTCAAGTGACATTATAATTTTTTTTTAAAACACTTTATACCTTAGTAACTGCCTTTATTAAAGATTGAGACTCTAGTTTCAGACCGGCATTTCTCATACTTAAACTAAATATAAAATTCTGAAATATTCTGATTCCCCCTTCCCAAGACATCTCTTTGCTAGAAGTCATTAACAAATCATACCTCATTACACATCACCAAGTTTAAAATAGCCTGCTTCCTGGTTGGCTTGATTCTGTATTATTCCAAGAAACTGGCCCCGATACACTATGAGCTCATCCTCTGGGCTACCTTTGCCAATTTGATTCATCCAATCTATGAGAAGATTTATCTCCTATTACTATTGCAGTCTCTTTCTTCCAAGCCACTATTTTTCCCCAGATTTATACTGGCTGACAGGATAGCTGTCAGGAGACAGCTTCCCTTTGCTATTTGTTATTTTCATCCAAAATTATCCTTATGCCTTGATCTCCAAATAAAGATAATTTTCAGTACTAAATTGGTTTCATCTGAAGCTACACCACCTTTTCCCCCCCCACTTTCTTCTTGTCCTTCCAATTTTTTTTTATTATTCATTTGTAGGACGTGTCCATGCTGGCTGGCCAGCAATTCTTGTCCATCCCTAGTTGCCCTTGAGGTGGTGGTGTTGAGCTGCCTTCTTGAACCGCTGCAGTCCACCAGTCCTCCAAAATGTCATGTTCAAGTCGCTGCCACGGTCACTCAGCAACTACATCACTAACAACAGTTATCATTTCAAAGCCATTTATTTATTGTTGCATTAGCAACACAAATCTTGTTATGGCTGATGTCTGCATTTAGATAAAGAGCCTTTAATTCTGACATCTTCAGAATTATTCTTGCTCTGGCCTTCTTTACTGACGGAGTTGAACTGCCCCTTCCTGTCATCCTCTGGTCAGCATTAACTGTATTGCTTCCTGCACTACTGCCTTACCCCTCACGTGAAGCTTGCCCTCCATACAGCTACTGAAGATCCTCTCAACCAACTATAGTTATATAATTTTCCAGGTCACTGGTTCCAATGTTGTTCAGGTGAAGAGCCCCCCAATGACACGATTCCCTCTTTCTTCAGTACAGATGCCATTACTGTGAATCAAGACAATTCTTCCAGCATTCAACTCTGGTTTTACTTACACTATGTCAATTTGCTTGTGGCTCAGCTAATAATCCAGAGATCATTACTCTGAGGTTCTGCTTGTTATTTCCAAGCATTCAGTATTTCTTCAGGAGAACCTCTTTTTTTTTTTAGTCCTATCGTTAGTACTTACTTGGACGATGATCACCTGATCTTTTTCCCTTACCTCCAAATGCTTCCCCAGCCACAAGATTACCCTTAACTCTCACACCATGCAAATAAAACAACCTTCTGGACTTCTGCCCTTGGCTGCTGACAACGATATCAGTGGCCCCTATCTCTACTGTCATCTTCGACTACAACAACATTGTTGTTGCTTTTTGGTATTCTTTGATATTTTACCCTGGATTTTGGAAACAAAAGCACTTAGTTATGATCTCACAGACTTGAATGCTCATTCAGATAAAATAACACTCCTCAGGAAACATGTTACATGAAAACATTCCTAAATGGCTCAGTCAAAATTCATTGCAATGTCACATGCTTCTTGAAAGCTCAGTGTTGTGAATGAACAAATCCTAACAAAGTGTAACAGCTACGACTCTGGGGTACTTGGCATACAAAACAGGTACTGAGCTTGGATTTTATCCTGCTCGGCAATGTTAATTACTTAATTACCATGATACTCCAAAGTTTATGATGCTAATTCCATGTTTTTGATCTGTCAGGAAATATCCACCGATGCAAATGACCAACTGAGCATGACAGATTTCTCAAATGCAAGATCACAATATAACCCTTACTAAATATTACACAGATGTTTTGCATCCACTCACCACCATGTAAATTACTATTTAAAATTTTGTGCTCAAGTTGACAGATGTTATTAGTATGCAGCAGGATTTTTTTCAATCTTGTTCTCTGTGTTAACATGAAATAGTGAAGGTGGTTCTGTGAACAGAAGTCAGGTACACTTCCCACCTAGCTATAAGGGCACACCAAAACTCCAAATGCTTCTTCCTTGACTACATAACTAAAATCAGAACGCCTGCCCCCTTTAGCAAGGCTAAACAATATTATGAGATACAAATGAAGCAGAGCAAGATAGTGGACAAAAACACATCCCTCCCCGATGCGCCCAATGTTTTCTATGCTTGGTTCGAGCAGAACGCTAGCGGTGCGGTGTTACTTGCCCCGACAGCCCCGGTCACACCTGTGCCCACTGTCACTGCTGCAGACATCAGACGGTCTTCCTGGGAGTCAACTCAAGGAAAAGGACAGGCCTGGACAGAATGCCCGGTGGATCAGCTGGCAGAGGTATTCACTGACATCTTCAAAACCCCCTCCTTCAAGCCGTAGTCCCCACCTGCTTCAAGAAGACCACCATCATCCCAGTACCAAAGAAAACATATGCCATGTGCCTTAATCAACTCCAGTCTCCCATCCTGCCTCGATCCCCTACAACTTTGCCTACCGATTTAACAGGTCCCCAGTGGACGTTATTTCCCTAGCTCTGCACTCACTCCTGGAACATCTGGACAACAAGGACACCTACATCAGACTCCTGCTCATCACCTACTACTCCGCCTTTAGCACTATATTATCCCCTCCAGACTGAGACCTGGGTCTCGGCTCTGCCCTCTGCAACTGGATCCTCAGGTTTCTGGCCAACAGACAGCAAAGATAGAAATCTGCACATCCTCCTTGATAATATTCAACACTGGAGCCCACCCATGGTTGAGCTCTCAGCCCTCTACTGTACTCCCTATACACACACAACAGTGTTGCCAAATTCTGAACAAATGCCATCTACAAGTTTGCTGACGGCACCGAAGTAGGACGGACAACAAACAATGATGAGGCAGAATGCAGAAAGGAGATAGAGGACTTGGTGACGTGGTGCAATGATAAAATCCTTTCTCTCAACGTTGGCAAAACTGAAGAATTGATCATTGACTTCAGAAAAAAAAGGAGAACACTCCCTCCATCTACAACAATGAAGCTGAGGTTGAGAAGGTTGTGAGTGTCAAATTCCTAGGAGTGACAATAACTGACAACCTGACCTGACTTCCCACGTAGATGCAATGGTCAAGAAGTCACAATGACACCTCTTCTTCCTCAGGCGGCTCAGAAAATTTGCCAGGTCCTTCAGATCCGTCATCAAGTTTTACAGATGCACCAATGAAAGCATACTGTCTGGGTCCATAATTGCTTGGTATGGCAACTGTTCTGCCCAAGACCATAAGAAATTACAGAAGGTTGTGTGCACAGTCCAGACCATCACAGAAGCCAAACGTCCATCCATTTACACGGCCTGTTGCTGCAGAAAGGCTGCCAATATCAAAGACCCATCCTAATCTGGCACTCCTACAACCTCTTCCATCAGGCAGAAGATACAGAAGCCTGAACACATGCACCAGCAGGTTCAAGGACAGCTTCTTCCTTGCGGTTTTTAGATTCATGAATGGATTCTCTAACTTCAAAGAATGCTGATCTTGTTAAAGTTGATCTTGCCTAGCGCACGCCCTGTACAATGTAACATGTATGCCTCCATCCAAGATTTTGTTCCACCCTATGATCTGCATATCCTCGCTTACTATGATTTGCCTCTATTGCTTATAAATAAAGCTTTTCACTGTACTTAGATACACGTGACAGTAAATAAATCAAATTACATCAGAAAGTCATGGTGAGTGAAACAGTTGTGGCTTAGCACAACACTTTATAGCACTGAACTTTGGTAGCAACAATTATGATTTTTTTGTTATTATGGAGGTGAGTCAATAAAGAAGGGCCTCAGAACAGAATTAATGCCTTTTGTTGGCATATGACACCATTTGTATCTGCACTGAATACTGAAGATAACCTCTATTTCTTCTAATTTACTACCTATTGTCTATTTAATATCAAGATGAGGAGGAATTTCTTTTCTCAGAGAATAGAGAATCTATGAAATTCTTTACTGCAGAATGCTGTTAAGGCTGGGTCATTAAGTATGTTAAGGCCGAGATAGACAGATTTTTAACCAGTAAGGGAATTCACAGTGATGGCGAAAACGCAGGAAAATGAAGGTGAGGATTATCAGATAGCTACGATCTCAGTGAATGGCACAGCAGTCCCGATAGGCTGAATGGCCTACTTCTGCTCTTATGTCTTATGATCTTACCTGATGCCAGCAAATAACTTAGCCCGAACTCTGGAATAGTGTTGTATCAGAAACTGTCTTGGAATTTCAAATTAAAAGACAGTTTCCACAGAAGTTGACTCAATGCACGAATCAAATTACTTGTACACAGAATTGAGTTTTACCTCCTAGGTTCATTATAGTTCGAGATCTACTTTTTGACAGCGCTGTGGATCTCTGAACACATGCTGCTAGGACCATGGCCATTTCATCAGTTTTCACTTCCTGCTCTTCCTGACACAAAATGCAGGTCAGTGTTATTTTCTCAGCTGCAGTTGCACCTTGCATCGGTCCCAATGCCACACCAGAATCCTCAGCGGTTGGAGTACTGTAAGAAAAAACAAGACTCCTCACACTAATCTAAAAGGGAGATTGCTTCAACATAAATAGTTCCTGTTAACTATATTCTTTCCTTCTTGCATTTTACTTCACCGAATCAAGCGTGGTGACAGTAATGTCAAGCAAATGTTTCAATAGGAAAACCCATGTGCCCTGCTTCTTGGAACAGGAGCTTTATTTCTTAAAAAAACAAGCACTTGACCTCATCTGTACAATTACAGGCGAGATGATGGCCTAGTTTTATTGTCGCTGGGCTGTTAAGCCAGAAACCCAGGTAATGTGCTGGGGACCTGGGTTTGAATCCGGTGATGACAAATAGTGGAATTTGAATTCGATAAAAATATGGAATTACCAGTCTAATGATGACCATGAAACCATTGTAGACTGTCAGAAAAACCCATCTGCTTCACTAATGTCCTTCAGGGAAGGAAATCTGCCAACACTACCTGGCCTACATGTGACTCCAGACTCACAGCAATTTGGTTGACAATGTTAAAGGACAGAAAATGCTGGCCTAGACAATGAAGCTCTCATTCCATGAATAATGTTAACATTATACAATGGATACAGCACAGAAGGTGGCCATTTAGCCCACTGTACCCAAGTCTTATCTCTACAAGTCCCACTGAGTTTCACTCAGATGAAGTGATTTCACCTGACAAAAGAACAGCACTCCGAAGCTCATGATTTCAAATAAACCTGCTGAACTATAACCTGGTGTTGTGTGACTTCTGACCTCGTCCACCCCAGGCCAACACTGGCACCTCTATATCATAGCTACCATTGACACCACAAAGTGCCAGCTCAAAGTGAAGAGGATCTCCAAAAAGATCACGCATATCGACAAGACTTCACTTGATGAAGGAGCAGTGCTCCGAAAGCTTGTGACTTCAAATAAACCTGTTGGATTATAACCTGGTATTGTGTGACTTCTGATCTTTTCACTAATGGCAACAATTCCTCTCCATCTCCTCGGTCTAGACTCACTTGCATTTTATCTTTTCAACCTTCTTTTCCAAAGAGAAAATCCTAGCTTCTCCAGCCTCTCCCCAGGACAAACCTTGTAAATCTTTTCCACGCCTGCTCCAAAACTACGGTGTTCAGAATTGGACCCAAAGTCCAGTTGAGGAACATCCAGTGTTTTACATAAGTTGACCCTAAAATTCCAGGACCTGCATTTTTAACCACTTCCTCAATCTGCTCTTGCACCTTCAATGGTATGTGTCCTAATATCCAAGTCTATGTGTTCCTGAACCCATTCAGAATCTCCTTGTTCTTCCTGCCAAAATTCATCACTTCTCTGCATTAAATTTCATCAGTCACTTAGATAGCTATCCTACCAGCCTGTCTACATCTTGAAGTCTGATCAGTATCCTCTTCACAGTTCACAACACTTCCAAACTGAGACATCTGCCAACTTTGAAACTGTGCCTTGTGGACCAAGTTTATAAGTATATAGTTAAAAAGTACAAGCCCTTGGAGAGCACTTGTGATGAATCCTTCTTTTTGGTTAGCAGTCTTTGCACTGTGCATTCAGTGAAAATGGCAAACTTGAATAGAATTCCATAGTTGTTAGGTGGCAAATTTAATTCTGCCCTTTAATAGGGAGAGACTTAAGGCAAGTATATGCATCACTCAGGACGGTTCAGGATCAATAAGAAACAGTTCTGGGGACACAGGCACTTAGAGAAAGAGAACAGATTGGGGCAGAATCCACATTAGGAGTGCTGATTTTTTGGCTGTCCTGCAGGGAAGGACTCAACAGCAGTTAGATAGTTCTGTTCTGTTGGAATGAGCTCAAGTAGTTGTTCTAGGAATTAGTAGGGAGCTAAGAGTCAGGACTCAGTCATTCTGGCAGCTGAGAAAGTAGGAAGGTTGCTGGTTGCGTGCTGGCAGAAGCCATAGGGATTTGGAAGGAGCCTGTGAGCATGAATACCTTCATACAACTGAGAGAGTTAGGGCAACAGAATAGAATAGAATCCCTACAGTGCGGAAACAGGCCCGTCGGCCTAACAAGTCCACACCGATCCTTGGTGCATCCCACCCAGACCCATCCCTCTATAACCCACCTAAGCTACGCATCCCTGAACACTATGGGCAATTTAGCATGGCTAATCCACTTAACTTGCACATCTTTGGACTGTGGGAGGAAACTGGAGTACTGGGAGGAAACCCATGCCGACACGGGGAGAACGTGCAAACTCCACACAGACAGTTACCCAAGGGTGGAATCGAACCCGGGTCCCTGGCGCCGTGAGGCAGCAGTGAGCCACTGTGCCACCCACAAGGGTTGAAAATCCCACAAACAATATTAGCTTCATTCTGACCAAGATAAGAAGTTGGGGACAAAACTAGCTTGGTGAAGCTAGCTGTTGGCAAAGAGCTGGAGCCGTGCTTCTGAGTAAGGACCGGAGTGCAGTTTCAGAATCATAGGGAATGTGAGCCCAAGACAGGAGAGTGCTCACATAGAACATGAACAGTTGTTGGGCAATCCATGATAGAATGGCTCTTAAGATAGGGTTTCAAGACGAGATCAACAAAAGTGAAGAACTGCAATCCCTTGTGAAGCTTAATGAAATTTGATGACCAGTCTTGTCATTAACATCTGGAGGGAGTCATCAAAAAAAATTGTGGGATCTGTTTGGATTGTGTATGCATAGTGTTCGATCAGTTTATAACCCATATTGGCCACATGTTAATATTGGATGTTAGAAATAAGTTGCACATTTATTCTAAATTGTATTAATGTTCTAACTTATAAACTTTTTTTTATTCACTCACATTGTTGTATGTTCAAAATTGTGGAATCTTGAGTCTTTATTTCCATAGCAAGTCTCCTGGATCTCTCAGCTTGCTATTTCAAAAATAGAAGTTACTGGCCCATAACCAGATCATTACAAAGTTATCAGTTTGGTCTAGCACTATAAATTCTAATGCATACATTCCTCCAGTGTGATGAATGACCACTCATCACTATTCTCATTCCTATCACTCTGCTAGCTTTATATCAATGCTGCTACTTGGGCTTCAACCTTGCTGAAAAGCATATTCTGTGGTATTTATCAAAAGTCTTTTGGAAGTTCAGATGCACCATATCCACTGTATTACCCCTAATCAACTCTGTTCCTCATCATAAACTCAATCAAGTTAGTCTTCAGCAAATCAGCACAGTTGTTCATTAGTTATTTCACATTTGTTTTCAGTGAATGCTAAATTTTATCATAATTATCCTTTCCCAGCATTCAGGTTAACTGAATGGCCTGTGATTGCTGAGTGCACTCTTCAAATCATTAACACGATTGCAATTCTTCATTTCTCTAGCATCACTCATTCTTCTTTAGAAACAGGAAAGATTATGACCAGTGCTTCCTTAATTTTCAGTCTTACTTCCTGGTGGATACTCAGATGAAATTCATTGAGCCCTTGTAAGTTATTAACTTGAAGTATAGCCAGCTTGGCTAATACTTCCTGATTATCAAGTTTAGCACATCTAGTTTCTCAGCCACCTGCTCTTTCACAATCTTCTTCTTGCCGAAAACAGATGCAAAATACTCATAACAGTTCAACCATTTTGGTCTACCTTTTTACTATTTATAAACCTATAAAAGACTTCAGAAGTCCATTTTCTTAACTGCCAGTCTCTTCTCGGACCCTCCGTCTTTCTTATTTCCTTTCTTGCTTCCCTCTGAACTTTGTATCTTTGGCCTGTTTATCCATCAGACATGTTTCGTATTCACACATTTTTAAAAAAAATCTTTAACATAGAAAAGGATACTTATAGGAACGCTTAAAAAAAAAACTGAGATGCCTAAGGAAATATTTTGATAGTAAGGTGCTTTTTAAAATGTTTTGTTGGTTAGGGATTGCTGCAGAAAAATCCTCGTTAAGATCATGGTTGATCTGATTTTGGCTTTAACATTTGTCTTGACTTTTCATAACCTTTGACTGCCTCGTAGGTCAAAAATCTGTTTAACACAGGCTTGAATGTATTCAATGGCCCAACCTCTATGGCTGTCTTTGCATTGATAATTCTAAAAATTAAATGAACCTCTGAAAGAAGAAATCCCTTTTTAAATTCAGTCTTAAAATGGGAGACCCCTTATTTTTAAACAGTACCTCCTAGTTTTAGATTTTCCGGAGAGTATAAGCATCCCTTTCTCTACACTGTCAAGAACCCTCAGTATCTAAATATATTTCAATAAATTCATCTCTCATTCTTGTAAATTTCAATGAGTACAGATCCAACCTACTCAACCTTTGCTCATAAGACATTCATCAACAATAAGTTGATGAATGGTCTCTGAACCACTTCCAATGCTAGTATTTCGTTAAATATGGAAAAGAATGCTGCACTCAATAGAATACCATACTCCAGGTATGGTCTCATCAATACCCTGTGTGGTTGCAGAATTTTCCTACTTCAATGCTCCATTCACATTGCAAAAAAGAAAATTTTAATTGGATTCTTAGTAACTTGTTATACCTGCATGCTAAGCTTTTGTGATCAATGTACAAGAACTTCTAAATCGCTTCTGTACTTATTCTGATACCATTTAAATAATATTCTATTGTTCCATTCCTTCTGCCAAAGCAGACAATCTCATTTTCCACGTAGTACTCAGTCATTTCTCCCCCACTCACTTAACCTCCCTTTGCAGACTCTTTGCATCCTTCCCATAACTTGCTTTTACGTCTATCTTTGTATTATCAGTAAATTTGATCCCTTCATTCAGGCAATTAGTGTGGTTTGTAAATACTTGAGGCCTCAGGTATTCTACTCATTGCGGTTTATCAACCTGAAAAGCAACCTATTTTCCAACTCACTTTTCTATTAGTTGGCCGGTCCTCTATCTACTCTAATATCTCCCAATAATGCGGGCTCCTATCTCACATAGTAAACTTGTTTTGTGGTTCCTTCTGAATGCCTTTTGGAAATCTAAATAAACCACATTTACTAGTTTCCCTTTACTACCCTGGCTGTTACATCCTCAAAGTTGCCAAAGAGCATTTTCCTTTCACAAAACACTGTTGACTCTGCCCGATGATTGTATTATGGTTTTCTAAATGTCCTACTATGACTTCCTTAAGTGATTCTAGCATTTTCCCAATGACAGATGTTGGGCTAACTGGCCGATTTCCTTCTCCTTTAATGACTAGAAACATGGCATATTTGCTGTTTCCAATCTACTGAGACCTTTTCATAATCTAGACAATTTTGTAATTAGTAGACAGTCCACTGATTTGAGAAATATTTCACCAAATGCTCAAGGTGACACCATGAAACGAGATGTGCCCTGGAAACACCACTAATTCGATCCTGTCACTTGCCTTTTTGCAGAACAAACCAATTTTTCTTTCAGCTCTCAAAATTCTTACCCAATTTTTCAGAGCTCACTTTATACAGGAACCTGGCAGTTATGAAAGAAAGACAGCTTTCATTCTCAGGACGATCAGATGGATTGAGTTCCAGATTTCAGAGATGAGAAATGAAAGGACACCATGTCAGAATTATATATACATTTATAAAGTGCTGCAATGAGTGGCTTATGCATCTAAGTTAAGCACTACAGAAAAACAGAATCAAGTTTTAGGGAAATCATTTCAGTTGAACAAGATGCCCTCTAATATCATGCTCTCAAGGGACACTCAAAGACCGGTGACGCGCTAAATGCCCTACTCGTTTCTTTGAAAGTGCCACAAGAACTACTATGGGGTCGAGCAATATGAAGCTGTGCAAACTACTGTAATACATCCAGGCAGCATAAATGATGAGCATGAAACAGGATACAGAAGGTAGGAAATGGGCAAAGCTTTTAGGATTGGGAGAAAAAGTGGGAAGTGTTGTCCTCTATGCATTTGATTTGGTGTTTACTGCGTGCAAAAATTGTTTGGACTCCAGAATAGGAGCTATATTGCCAAAGTTTGCAGATGATACCAAATTTCAGGGTGGACTTTTGGGTGGTGGTGTAGATGCTAGGATATATAAAGTGGAAGACATTGCAAAACACATGATTTGATGGCAAATTAAATTTAACACTGCACAATGTGCCTTGGTTCATTTTAGTAGGCCAAATAAGGAGACTAATTTGCCTTGTGAAATAATAGGTAAACAGAAATAAGTGGGAATCTAGGGAAGGGATTGCTGGGCCGCTTGCTGGCATATTTGTATCATCAATAGCCACGGGTGAGGTATCAGAAGACCGGAGGGTGGCTAACATGGTGCCATTATTTAAGAAAGGTGGCAAGGAAAAGCCAGGGAACTATACACCAGTGAGCCCGGCATCAGTGATGGGCAAGTTGTTGGATGGGATTCTGAGGGATAGGACTAACATGTATTTGTAAAAGCAAGGACTGCTTAGGTTAGTCAACATGGCTTTGTCTCACTAACTTGATTGAGATTTTTGAAGAAGTGACAAAGAGGATTGATGAAGGCAAAGTGGTGGACGTTGTCTATTTGGACTTCAGTAAGGCATTTGACGAGGTTCTGCATGGTACACTGGTTAACAAGGTTAGACCCATATGGAATACAGGAAGAGCTAGCCATTTAGATACAAAGTTGCTAGAAGATAGGAGTCAGAGGGTGGTGGTGGAGGGTTTTTGACTGGAGGCCTGTGATCAACGGTGTGCTGCAGGGATCAATGTTAGGTCCACTGCTTTTGTCATTTATATGGATGATCTGGATGTGAATACAGGGAGGTATGGATAGTATATTTGCAGATGACACCAAAATTAGTGGCAGAGGAGACAGTGAAGGAGGTTACCTCAGGTGACCTTATAGAGGTTTATAAAATCACGAGGGGCATGAATAGGGTGAATAGTCAAGGTCTTTTCCACAGGGTAAGGCAGTCCAAAACTACAGGGCAAGGTTACGGAATGAGCTGCCAGAAGAAGTGGTGGAGTCTGGTATAATTACAACATTTATAAGGTATCTGGATGGTTACATGAATAGGAAGGGTTTAGAGGGATATGGGCCAAATGCTGGCAAATGGGGCAAAATTAATTTAGGATACATGGTCTGCATGGATGAGTTGGACTGAAGGGTCTGTTTCTGGGCTGTACATCTCTATGATTCTACAACTCTATATGCAAGTTGCTAATGCTCATTAAGGCCATAAAGTACCAGGGCTCATTTCCAGAGGAAAAAATATAAAAATAGCGAGGGACTGCTTAATTTCTGCAGCAGCTTGAGTACATGACATCTGGGATACTGTGCACAACTCTGGTCTCCATACTACAAAAAGAATATTAAATTAGTGGAAAAAATGCAGGAAAAACTTACAAGGATATTAGCAGAACAGGGGGGACTCAAATGTCTGGAAATCAGACTGTAGCTCTTTTCTTGAAGAAAGATGACCAAGAGGATGCTATATAGGGGTAATTTAAAACTATGGGAGAGGTTTGATTAGGCAGACAGAGAAACTGCACAGATCTTTAATATGTCAGCAGTCAATAAAATGAGCAGTATCAGATTGGTTGCCTGTTATTGCTTTTTCATTGCTTCTGGTCAATAGTACGCAGTTTTATCAAACTAAGCTACAAATTTAAATGCTCTCATTGCATCTATCTGTCACATACCTATCTACTTCAGTCCTGACTGTCCCTTGTTTTGGTGCTTCTGTTGCCTTCTCGTATAGGTGTTTGTTTGATTCAATGAAGTTTTTCTGCATTGCAGACATCTGTGCCATAATCTTCTGCCGATATAATTTGGCAGCCTCTGCTTTCCGTTTACGCTCGGCTTTATCTTTGTCCTGTGTAGTCTGCAATTTGATGAGAAACTTTTAGTCTTTCAAAACCTCTGCATGCCCAAAAATCCATTACAAGTGAATGATTTTCCAAGTGTAATGTGGAAAAGGTGGCAGCCAATGTGATTATGATGACATAATCTATTTTGATGCTGTTACACAAGGGACAAATACCAGCCAGGACACTGGCTACAGCTCCCCTGCTCTTTTATTGGATTTGCCAAATGATCATTCACATCCATATGGAGAGACGGTTTCTTGCTTTAACATCTCAACCAAAAGAGAGCACCTCAATCAGGGGATCACTTTCTTCATACTGCACTGGGCACACCAATTCAGGCTGTGCATTCAGAACTCTGGAGTGGGACTTGAACCCACGACTTTCCAATGAAGAGGTGAAAGTATTACCGCAGGCCCTTGACAAAACCAAAATTGCTCCTAATCCAACTGTTCAGTTCCTTAATCCCGTTGATCACAAGTTTTGAACTCAGAGGGTACCCAGTTACCAGATCTCATCCAATGACTTCATTCGCAGACATACAGTACATGTTATATACCTGGATCAACACGAAATTTAAAAACAAAAAAAGAAAAGCATTAAAAGTGCCAGTACCTCATTTGCCTTTTGACTGGCTGCTTCTGTTGCTGAACATGGACTCGATTTCTCCCTCAGCTTTTTCACAGTTTCAAACATCTGAAATGTACAGACATATAACATTTGTACATTCCAAACTTTCTTCAGAGCATTTTTTTCAAATGTAATGTCTGCCAAAAGACTTTAAAAATATCAATGACCACTTTTCAAGCTTTCCTCCTCCTCCATTTCCTTCCTACCTTCAAAATAACAGAATTGCTTTAGATGCCAAGACTACCAATATTTATCCAAAGTCTGACATTTTCTTACATAGGTCATCAGATGTAATATGCCCCTACAGTTCCAGAAGGCCTGTGATAAGGTTCCACGTAACAAACCTTCGAGTAAGCATGCAGAATCATAGCAAGCAGAATGGATAACTGGCTGGTTACAAGACAGAAAGCAGAGACTAGATGGTAAAAGTAAGCCAGAGTGGCAGAAGGTGAAAAGTGGGGTCTCCAAAGATCACTACTGGTATCATTGTTATTGATAACTAACTATTTAGATTTTCAAATCAAAATGACAAATGTAAATTGGAGATTAAGGCAATATTGGGAGGATCAGTTCATACTGAGGAAAACTGCAACAAATTGAAGATAATGTGCGTAAACTAACTTCATTTGGCAATTAAATGCTCAAAGCTGAGGCATTGCAACTTGCAAAAGATGACAAGGAAGTCAGAGATAAACTTGAAAATAAGAATCTAAATGGGGTGGAATAGCAAAACCATCTTCACATTAATTTATTTGAGAAGAACTAAACAGTCAAACAAACCTCCAACAATTCCAGTCAAGGAACAGCAGCAGACTATTCAGTCTCTCAAGTATAATCTATTATTCAATCAGGTCATGGCTGACCTCAATTATTATTCACCTTTACTTAGAATCCCTTATCACCCTCAGCGAACAAAAATCTATTGATTGAGTGCTGAATACATCAACTGACCTGAAGCACCCAGAGCCTTTTAGGACTTGCATTGCACATTGTTTGAAAAGATTGTTCCCTGATTTCACTCCTCAATGCAATAGCTCTAATTTTAGGACACCACAGGTAATATCTTGTCTGTATCAGTGCCAACGAAAGCATACATAAAGAAATGGTGCTAAATGATGAAAAGACATACCTGATCAGACAGACCACTCCTCCCATAAAGATTTAGACTGACACTACAAAGGTACCTTTTGGAGTGAAGGGGGTTTTCAAGAAATTTTAAGTTAAATTTTCTGGCCTAGAAAGGCACAAAAAAGGTTGACGTTAGGAAGGAGGATGTGCTAGAAATTTTGAAAAACTTGAGGATGGATAAGTCCCCTGGGCCAGACAGGATATACCCAAGGTTACTACAGGAAGCGAGGGAAGAGATTGCTGCCCCTTTGGCAATGATCTTTGCGTCCTCGCTGTCCACTGGAGTAGTACCAGAAGATTGGAGGGTGGCAAATGTCATTCCCTTGTTCAAGAAAGGGAATAGGGATAATCTTGGAAATTACAGACCGGTCAGTGGTGGGCAAATTATAGGAGAGGATTCTGAGAGATAGTATTTATGATTATTTGGAAAAGCATAGTTTGATTAGAAATAGTCAGCATGGCTTTGTGAGGGGCATGTCATGCCTCACAAGCCTTACTAAATTCTTTGAGGATGTGACAAAACACATTGATGAAGGCAGAGCAGTGGATGTGGTGTATATGGATTTTAGCAAAGCATTCGATAAGGTTCCACACGGTAGGCTCATTCAGAAACTAAGGTGGCATGGGATTCAGGGAAATTTGGCTGGATACAAAACTGGCTGTCCAAAAGAAGACAGAGCGTGGTAGTAGATGGAAAGTATTCAGCCTGGAGCTCGGTGACTAGTGGTGTTCCACAGGAATCTGTTCTGGGACCTCTGCTCTTTGTGATCTTTATAAATGACTTGGATGAGGAAATGGAAGGGTGGGTTAGTAAGTTTGCCGATGACACGAAGGTTGGAGGAGTTGTGGACAGCGTGGAGGGCTGTTGTAGGTTGCAACGGGATATTGACAGGATGCAGAGCTGGGCAAAGAAATGGCAGATGGAATTCAACCCAGAAAAGTGCGAAGTGATTCATTTTGGAAGGTCGAATTTGAATGCAGAATACAGGGTAAATGGCAGGATTCTCAGCAGTGTGGAGGAACAGAGGGATCTTGGGGTCCACATCCATAGATCCCTCAAAGTTGCTACCCAAGTTGATAGGGTTGTAAAGAAGGTATGTGGTGTGTTGGCTTTCACCAGCAGGGGAATTGAGTTTAAGAGCCATGAGGTTATGCTGCAGCTCTATAAAACTCTGGTTAGAACACGCTTGGAATATTGTGTTCAGTTCTGGTCACCTCATTATAGGAAAGATGTGGAAGTTTTAGAGAGGATGCAGAGGAGATTTACCAGGATGCTGCCTGGACTGGAGGGCAGGTCTTATGAGGAAAGGTTGAGGGAGCTAGGGGTTTTTTCATTGGAGCGAAGGAAGATGAAAGGTGACTTGATAGAGGTGTACAAGGTGATGAGAGGCATAGATAGTGGATAGCCAGAGACTTTCTCCCAGGGCAGAAATGACTATGATGAGGGGGCATAATTTTAAGGTGATTGGAGGAAGGTATAGGGGAGATGTCAGAGGTAGGTTCTTCACATAGAGAATGGTGGGAGTGTGGAATGTGCTGCTGGCAGTGGTCATGGAGTCAGATAATTTAGAGACTTTTAAGCGACTCTTGGATAGGCACATGGAGGATAGTAAAATGTAGGGTATGCAGGGTAGATTGATCTTAGTAGGATAATATGTCGGCAGAACATCGTGGGCCGAAGGGCCTTTACTGTGCTGTACTGTTCCATGTTCTTAAAACTTGAGCTCCCATTCAAGAGTCTGACACTGATGCTTTAATCAGAGACCATTACATACAAACTTCTTCGAGAAAGGGGCATCAGAACTGGAGGAAGCCATTCAGCCTCTTGACTTTGCTTCACCACTCAATTAAATCATGGTCAAATTACAACCATCCAATCTCCTTGGTTCCATAACCACTAATATCCTTGCCCGATTAAAACCGGTCAATCTTAGTTTTACAGATTTGAAAAAAGAAACACTGATTGAAAACCAAATAATTTGTTGTTCCCATTTTCAATACAGACCTGTAGAGTCCAGATAATCATATCCTTCTGGGCATCTAATTGTTGGACACCTCTTAGTTTCTCTAGAAGTGACAGGATGCTCTCAGCATTCACTGCAGAACTGCCTACTCCTTCAAAGTAACCAGAAATGATAAGTTTTAAAAAATGCATAACAGGAAAACTAGTAGAATGTTTATCATTTATTGTGAGGCAGAGGGGGGCCTAATACAAAAGTGGAAATGCTTCAGTTAGTTATAGAAGGAACTGGTGAGACTGCATCTGGAGTGCGGTAAAAGTATTGGTTAACTTATTTAAGGGAAGACGCACGTGTTGGAGGCAGTCAGATAAGGTCTACTGGACTAAGGAACAGGGAGGTGCTGGCTGATGAGGAAAGGCTGGGGCTTGTATCTGTTGAATTTGAAGAGTAAACGTACCTTGATAGAAACATACAAGATCCTGAGGGATCTTGACAGGGCAAATGCTGAAAAGAGATTCTAGAACTAGGGGTCACTGTTTAAATATCAGGTGATGTCTATTTAAAACAAAGATGAGATGACCTTTTATTCTCTCAGAGGGTTGTGATTCTTTGAAACCCTCTTCCCAAAAAGGTGGTGGATGCAGAGTCCTTGAATATTTTTAAGGCAGAGGTGGATAGATTCTTGTTGAGCCAAGACGTGAAAGCTATTCGGGATAATGGTGGGAATGCGGATTTGAGGTTATAATCAGCTTAGTAATGATCGTATTAAATGAAGGAGCAGGTTCAAGGGACTGAGTTCCCTCCTCTTGCTCCTAATTTGCTTGGAAAAATACAAGCAAATTTTGTCTTCTTGCATTATCAATGCTTTCATTTAAATAGCCTGCAAAAGCATAAACATGTATCTCATTTGCTAACCTAGGATCAGTTTGCAAAATAATTGTAAGGCTGAAGTCAGCAGTGTTATCGGTGCTGGGAATAGAAAGGTGATAGGTGGAAATATGATCGGATAAAAACACAGGTGAACAATTCAGGTCTGCATAGCCCCAGTAAAGGTACACGCTCTTCTTTAAAGTGGTATTCATGTAAAAAACGAGGTTTTGCTCAGTGTAAATGACTATAATTGGTGAAAAATATGATTCTGGCTGAGATAAATTTAACGCTAACTAAAAAAAACTGAATGAGCTGCCAATGCTGGAAATCAGAAACAAAATAGAAATTACTGGAAAAACTCTGCAGGTCTGGCAGCATCTGCAGAGAGAAAACATTCTCTGCTGAGTTTTTCCAGCAATTTCTGTTTAGGTTCAACATTGACAAGATTCACAACAGGAGCTCCAGGAGAGAATCATGTGCACTGCATCAGAAGCAAATTAATTGGCTGGTTAGAATATTCTGACAAAAGGTCAATCAATCCAAAATGTTAGCTCCTTTTCTCTCTACAAACGCTGAGCATTTCTCGTATTTTGTGGCTTTATTTCAGACTTCCAGGATCATCAATATTGCAACATGAAAGACAGCTTTTGTCTTTGGGATGGAATTCAGACAGACTGCAATGGAATGGTATCATGAAAGGTCACATAAACTGAAATAGGTTTGAAAACATTTTAAGTCATATTTCTCCCGTCAAAACTTTACCAATACTAAACTGATGAGCTTTGCTTGTTCTGACTGGAGAGTAATGTGGTAGTGGCAGTACATTACTGGCTGTATCATTCTAAGGTTAACAATTTTAATAGCTATTATAATATTTAATTTTAATTTCATACAGTATGAAATTTAATTTTGAATTAACACCATCAGCTGCAATGAAATAGTCTGAACTATTACTGCAGCAGTAACAATTAACAATTGTCAATCTATTTCAAATTCAGAAACAGGTACAGTACGTACTTGTTGCTTTAAGATAAACATCAAAGTTCACATCTTCCTCTGCAACTCCACCCTCTAGCTGTCTCTTTTCCTCTTGTAATGCCATGCAGATAAGATGAAGAGTCTATGGTATGAAGAGAAACACAACTATATGTTGTCAGTAACTTAAAATGTGCATTTCTGGCACTGATTTTAAAAAAAACCCATTAAGATCGCACTCCTTGATTATAAGGAACTACTTAATGTATCTTTTAGGTGCATTACTACAGAGTTATTTCTCCCGCTGAAGAATATTGGAAAGTGAGTACTGTTATTACTGGAAATTGGTTGAACTGGATTTACTTAGAATTACACAGCACAGAAGACTGCATTCCAAAAGTACACTATAATCTGCACTAGTCCCACTTGAATTTTGTGATGCTTTAAGTGCTCATCCAAGTACTTTTTAAAAACATCTAGTTGTTTCTGCCTTAACTATCCTCCAAGGTAGTGCATTCTTGACTTCCACCACCCTCTGGGTGAGAAGAAAATCCTCAAATCCACTCTAAACCATCTGCCTTTCACTTTAAAACGATTCCTCCTCCTTGTTCCTGACCCTTCAACTAAAGGGAACAGTTGCTTTCTAATCACTCTATCTATGCCACTCATAATCTCATGTATCTCTATCAGGATTCCTCCTCGACCTTTTCTGCTCCAAAGAAAACAAACTGAGCTAATCCAGTCTCTCTTCATAGCTGAAATGCTCCACCCCAGACTACATCCTGGTGAATCTCCTTCTCATCCCTCCACTGCAATCACATCCTTTCTCTAGTGTGGAGACCAGAACAACACACAGTACTCTAACTGTGGCCTAACTAAAGTCCTGCATAGCTCTTATAATTTATGCCTGGACTGATAAAGGCAAGCATCTCATAGGCCTCCTTAACTACCCGAGTAACCTGTCCTGCCACCTTTACGGATACGTGGACAAGCATTCCAAAATCCCTCTGCTTGTGAATTTTCCAGTGTCTTGCCATTTATGGAGTACTCCCTGGTTTTGTTGTTTGTTACAAAGTGCATTGTCTCACATTTATCAGCGTTAAATTCTATCCGTCATTGATCTGCCCATCAGACCAACCTGTTTATATCCTCCAATAACCTATCACTTCCCTTCCCATTGTCAGCCAACCTTTGTATCATCTTATTTATCACTGTTCCTACACTCTCATCGACATCATTTACCTTGATCAAATGGGTCAATGGTCAGAGGAGTGGCAGATGGAATTTAATCTAGATACATGTGAAGTGCTACATTTTGGTAAGGCAAATCAGGACAGGACAGGACTTGTACATTTAACAGTAAGGTCCCAAGGAGTGTTGCTGAACAGAGAGACCTTCGAGTGCAGGTTCACAGTTCTTTGAAATTGGAGTCGCAGATAGACTGGATAGTGAAGGCAGAGCTTGGTACGCTTGCCTTTATTGGCCAGTGCAGAGTATAGGAGTTGGGAGGACATGTTGCAGCTGTGCAGGAGATTGGTTAGGCCACTTGTGGAATACTGTGTTCAATTCTGGTCCCCCTGCCATAGGAAACATGTTATTAAACTTGAAAGGGTTCAGAAAAGTTTTACGAGGAGGTTGCCATGGTTGGAGGGTTTAAGCTATACAGAGAGTTTGAACAGGGTGGGGCCATTTTCCCTGGAACATCAGAGGCTGAGGGGTGACCTTATAGAAGTTTATAAAATCAGGAGGGGCATGGGTATGGTGAATAGTCAAGATCTTTTCCGCAGGCTTGGGGAATCCAAAACTGGAGGGCATAGGTTTAAGGTGAGAGGAGACAGATTTAGAAGGGACCTAAGGGGCAACTTTTTCCACACAGAGGGTGGTGCGTATATGGAATGAACTGCAGAGGCAGTGGTGAAGGCTAGTACAATTACAACATTAAAAAGGCATCTGGATGGGTATATGAATAGGAAGGGTTTAGAGGGATATGGGCCAAATGCTGGTAAATGGGACTAGTTTAATTCGGATATCTGGTCAGCATGAATGAGTTGGACCAAAGGGTCTGTTTCTGTGCTATATATCTCTATGACTCTATTTATATACATCATGAACAAGGAGGAACCCAGCACTGATCCCTGCGGTATGCCACTGGACACTGGGCTCCAGTAACACAAACAGCCTTCTGCCACCACCCTCTGTCTCCTGTCGCTACGTCAATTTTGGATCCACCTTCCCACTAAGGACCAGTATGGAGCATGAAATAAGGCAAATAAAAAGAAAAATTAGCAACATGGGAAACACATGGCTCATTTAGCTCACTTTCCACCATTCTCATAATCAAAGTATTTGCAAAAAAAAATGGACCTCTATCAATTAAATTGCAAAATCAGATTTCGGAGAAGTTGTACAATTAAATTGAAAAGCAAAAGGAACATAAAGGAGATCATCCAAATACAATACATAAAAACAGCATGCATTATCAAATTTGACTTTTAAAATGTTCCATAATGGGTTTCTTATAGTATTTCTACCTCACATGGGACAAATTTCAATAATATCTATCTTAATTCTTCATAATCTACCAAGCAAGGTAATTGATACTGTGCAAATGCATACCTTCTGTACCATTGCTTCACTCCACAACCGCCCTGCGGAATCCACAGCCCGCTGAAGAACTGTTCGGAGGATTAGCATTAAAACATCACAGTTCAAAACATTTATGACCGTCACAAACGTGGAATAGAATGGAGGAGGGAGAGGAGGTGGAAGGGCTGAAAAACACATTACAAAACAGTCCATTAGCAGGTCGATCTACTCAAACACAACACAGGATGATAAAACTAGCAGACCACGATCGCCACACTCATGCTTCAGATGAACTAGGTAAATAAAACCACAAATCTCAGAAACTACATCATATAATGCCAGATCATGTAGTCTTTGCACTACAAAAATAATATACAAGATTTGCAAGCATCAAACTAAAATTTGGAGAATGCAATACTAGGAAATATTGACCAAGTTTGAATTTCTAATCTGTGCAAGAGAGATGATGGGGGTATCTATTAAGGTCTATAAACAATGAATGAATTGACAGTTTCTGCACATAAATTCTGTTTGTCCTTGTGAATATGGCAGCACAAATACAAACAGATCAAATGTGAAAATTAGTTTGACAAAATGTGTTGAGAATATAAAATTCAGAGTGCATGTAGCTGTTAAAGTAGTTAACATTGATAGCCCGAGGGGATGTTTGCTGAATAGATGAAGGTCAGGAAAGGGATAAAGGCCAAGTTCAGAAGAACTAACTTAGGTAAGGAAGAGGCTTGGTGAAGTATTAAAAGCAACACAGGCCAGAGTCGGTACACAGCCCTGGCAGTATTTGCATGACATTCTCTCATTGTACCTTTGGAAGCATTTACAGATGACATTTTTATTAATGTATTGCTCATGTGTTTCTTGTGGCCGATTTTTATTTTCGCCAGGTGTCGGCTAAATGTTTCTTTTATTCCATGTCTATGACAAAAAAAACTGAGGAATTTCAGAGCATGTTGAAAATGCAAGGCAATATTCAATTCAAAATCAAATCACACCACACGTAATTCAAGTAAGTCAAAAGCTGTGTTTGCCTTTTACTTATGTATAACTATCAGCTTATTTTTGCAATAACTAATTAAAATAATAAAATACTACTTTGTAGGTTATGATAAGCAATACCCTAACATCAAAAATGAGCCATCAGTGATGCGACAAGTACATACAATTGAAAATTTTGTCCAGGCAACTGTCAAACTGTTCTTCACATCCAGCACCATGTCTCCTAAGGTTGACGTCTATGAAAGGAGGACTTCTGTCTTGTCAAAATTGTTCTCAGACTCATTCCAAAAATGCAGTGCAGTGCTCAGTTCAACTTTTTTGTTGAGTTGGGGGATTTCATACAGACACATATATACAAGCATATAAATTATTACGAAACTGCAACTCTTCCTGAAGACGATATGCTCTTGTTCTACACTTTGCACATGGACGAAGGGTCATTCTTTATTTAAACAGTAAATAAATGCCTCAATCGTAGGCCCCTATAACTCTCTCATCACAAATCCAGTTCACACCTGTCCCAAAACAGCCCTTTGCTCTATGCTATCATGTGATACACACACTGCCTGCCTCAGATCTCTTGGTTGAGATTCTGACACTCAGATAGGTAATAAATGGTGTGAGATAGCCTGCTCCAGATGGATTTAAAATGAGTTGTATCCATGAAAATACTGTACTCCTCACTGCACCAAAGTTATATGCTTTCATGTCACAGCTTAAGGTAATTATATGGCCCAGACCTATACTGTGGATAGTACACCACCTTGTATTACCTATATACATACTGGCTGCAATGATACTTTCTGTCTGAATGCTTATACTTAAATAATTTATTGCACAATTACAAGTTCACCAAAAGCAAACAACAGATGGTGAAAATGGAATTTCAAAACATAATTAAAGTAATTTGTGGAAGCAACAGCCTAGTGACATTATTGCTGAACTGTTAGTTCTTTGTTGTGGGAATGCAGGTTCAAATCCCACCACAGCAGATGGTGGAATTTGAATTCAATAAAACAAAATTAAATCCTGAATTAAGAGTCTAATGATTGGCATAGTCAATTGTACCCATCTGGTTCACTACTGTCCTTTAGGGAAGGAAACAGCTAAACGTACCTGGTCTGGCCTACGTATGACTCCAGACCCACAGCAATGTGGTTAACTCTTAACTGCCGTCTGGGCTATTAGGGATGAGTAATAAATACTGGCCTGGCCAGTGACACCCTCATCCCATTAATGAATTTTTAAGAAGTCATAAATTATTTAATTATTCTTTTATGCAATACTGCCTTCAACTGAACTACACAGTTAGGAATTCAAATAGGAATTCCATACTTCGTTTCACACTCACCAACATCCCAAGTTGTTCAGCCAGTTCATGGTTAAAATGCTTCTGTTTAAAACACAAACTCATTTAGGCTGTGAAGAAAGGTTCCACAAGGCTTGGGATCCATTCTTAAACAAGTTATGACTAACCAAGGGAGTGGACGAATGAAGAACAGGAGCCAGTTCAACTCTCCATACCTGGGAGCTGAACAATTTGAGAGTCCCATCGTAACCAAAATAATTGGGGAACTTCCCTGGGATCTGTGTGTAGCAGCACGCAGCAATCAGGAAAATACTATGCAAGGGACAGATAACAAGCACAAACAGAGGCAAACGTGTTATTAAAAGGGCTGTGCAGTACAAGTGGGTCACGCATGGCAAAAAGAATTAGAGGGAACATTGGTCCAGGTTTCATTACAGTAAATCCGTGCTGCATGACCTCCAAGGTCAATACATCCTTCCAATAGTGTGGCGCATGGAGCTGCTCAATGTACTCCAAGTATGGTATGATCAGAGCTTTGAGTAGCTGAAGCATGACTTCTAACCTGTGTACTATAGTCATCTGGATATAATGGCCAGTATTCCATGACTTCCTTTGATTATTTTCTGTACACGTTATGGCATTTTAATAATCTATGTATCCGAATGCCATCAAGACCTCTTTTCATGCTTTATGAGGTTCTCTGTCCTATTCTTTTTAGGTCCAAAGTTGACGACCTTACAGTTGTCTTAAATGAAATCCATTTGCTAGCTTTGCCCATTCACCTACTCCGTATGTTTATAATTTTAAGGTTTCTGCTGTTGATTAATTATCCAGCTACTCTGCAATTTTGCCTCAATTCTCCAGTGTTGTGTTAGCTATGGTCAAACTATTGGATTTAAAAGCACTGGCAACAATTGTCTCAATCCTGAAAATTACATTGTGGAACACAAAAAATGCACGAGACACCTGTTGACCCTGATAATATATCTTTGAAACACCAAACTCAAATTAAAAACCTGAATTACCTTCACTGCTGTTGGATTGTTTTTTCCTCTTCTTCTGTTCATCCTCAGCCTTTAATAAAGAGAAATAAATGAGACAACTTAACATAAGAGTGCATATTTATATAGCACTTTAAATGATATATAACATTTTAGAAGTACCTAACAGGAGCATTATGAAACAGTATGACACCTGGCAATTGCCACTTCAAACGAAAAAAGTAAAATATACTTAATATAGTTGATACAACAAAGACCTGCATCATTCCCGCTTTCTCTTTCAAAGTCTTATAACTTGGCTTTTGAGCCATAGGATCTCTCACTTTTCCAATCGATTCAATCTTCGAGTCACAATTATTGGAAGCCTTCATCTAAGTTCCCTGGAGAAAATCATCACACAAAAGGTATGCTTCTGCAGAATCTCCTTCTCTCATGGCAGCCTTGATGGCAAAGATTCCCTTAACACATCTTCATCTGGCCACTTGAATATCAACTTTGTTAAATGGCCTGGTGGACTGTGGCAAAACTGAAGCTACAGCAGCAAAATTGTTCATTTCAGAATCCTTACTTTAACTTTGTTTTGGCTTTCTATCCTGTTTACATGTATGAACCATTTGCGACTGCACTTTTCCTCACTCCCCTCCACTGCAGCTTCTTTCTCTCAGTAACCACATCTTAAATTCCTTCCTGTAGGTACTTCTTTGAGGTCCGGGTCACCAGCTTACATTTTTATTGTTCATGAAAATTGCAATTAAACCCTTTACCCACTGATGTAAACTTCAAACTAATTTCAGATTCTGTAGACTTTTTTTTAAAATTGCAAGATTTCCTTACTACACTATTTCAAGGTCAAAGCGCTTAAGCAACTGGTAAAATCCACGTCTCGGCTCCTAAGGCCTACAGCCCAATGGCCTAAACATGGATTCTACCAGTTTCAAAATCTCCCCACCCCTGCCCTCATCCCAAGACCAACCTTCCCTCTCATCCCCGCCTCCTTGACCTGACACAACCTGTCCATTTCCCACCTCACCTACCAATCCTGGCCACCTACCTTCCCCAGCCCCACCCCTCCTCTATTTATTTATGAGCTTCCTTCCCTCTCCTCTATTTCTGAAGAAGGGTCCTGACCCAAAACGTCAACTTTCCTGTTCCTCTGATGCTGCCTGACCTGCTGTGTTCCTCTAGCTCCGCACTTTGTTATCTCTGACTCCAGCATCTGCAGCTCTTGATATCCAAGGAAAGCAGCTGTCACTTCCGGTCAACTCACAAAACAAGGACAGAATAACACCAAATTGACCACTGGGATAACATGCGGCTAGAGAAGCTCAAAAATTTCCAGCATTGCTGTCTGCAGGTCGAGTAGAACAAAACAGTAGAACAACATACCCTAGTAGAACAAAAACCACAAATGCTGTACTACTCAAACAAGATGGCTTTGTTAGCTCAGGCACATCCATGAAAAGGAAAAAGGTCACATGCCCAAGGATCTTCTGTATGGTGAGTCAACCAAAGGACTAGTGAGACAGCCAAAGCACCATTTCAGAGGTTGCTTACAAACAATGTGAAGGTTCAAAATATCAGTTATCACAGCTAGATGTCAATAACTGATGAGAAACGGCAACATTTCTTGTGGGCTGGTGGGCACAACTACAATAATCAGTGGTCACAGTGGTTTGGCAATAGGCACTAATGCTGAAGACAACAGTCAACGACACATGGAAGCTTCACGTGGGGCACTTTTGATACAATCTGCCTCTTCATTCATCAAAGATGGATGAGTGGACACCCTACCTGAAATTCATTGTTTCTGCACCTCAAGTAGATGGAGGGATACCAAAGAATTTGTTCATTGTCTGCATGAGAGAGAACTAGTAGAGATATTTCAATCACTGTCCGTCACTACCCTGGGTTCTAACCTGAAACGTTTTTTAAAAAACTTTTATTATTTTCATTTCAGAGATGTGGGCATCGCTAGCTGGCCAGCATTTATTGCCCATCAGAAGGTGGTAGTGAGCTGCCTTCTTGAACCGCTGCAGCTCCCCTGCTGTGGGCTAACTCACAATGCCATTAGAGAGAGAATTCCAGGATTTTGATCCAGCAATAATGAAGGAACAACGATGTATTTCCAAGTCAGGATTGTGAGTCGCTTGGAGGGGAACTTGAAGGCAGTGGTGTTCTCCTATATCTGCTGCCCTTGTCCTTCTAGGTGGATGTGGTTGTGGGTTTAGAAGATGCTGTCTGAGGATCTTTGGAGATTTTCTGCAGTGCATCTTGTAGATAGTACACACTGCTACTACTGAGCGTCGATTGAGGGAGTGGATGCTTGTGGATGTAGTGCCAATCTGCTGCTTAGTTGTGGATGGTGTCAAGCTCGAGTGTTGTTGGAACTGCACTCATCCAGGCAAGTGGTGACTATTGCATCACACTCCTGACTCATGCCTTGCAGATGGTGGGCAGGCTTTGAGGAGTCATGTGGTCAGTTACTCGCTGCAGTACCCCTAGCCTCTGACCTGCTCTTGTAGCCACTGCCTTTGTGTGGTGAGTCCTGTTGAGTTTCTAGTTAATCAGTTGATAGTGGGGGATTCAGTGATGGTGGTTAGATTGTCTCTTATTGGTGATGGTCATAGCCTGGCATTTGTGTGGTGCAAATGTTAATTGCAACTTGTCAGCCCAAGCCTGGATATTGTCCAGATCTGGCTGCATTTGAACACTGACTGCTTCAGTATTTGAGGAGGCTCAAATGGTGCTGAACATTGCACAATCAATCATCGGTGAACATTTCCATTTCTGACCTTATGATGGAGGGAAAGTCATTGATGATGCTGAAGATGGTTGGACCTAGGACACTATCCTGAGGGACTCCTGCAGAGATGTCCTGGAGCTGAAATGAATGACCTCCAACAACCATGACCATCTTATGTGTCATGTATGGCTGTAACCACAGGAGAGTTTGTCCCCAGATACTCATTGAGTCAATTTTGCTAGGGCTCATTGATGCCACACTCGGTCAAATGCACCTTTGATGTCAAGGGCTGTCACTCTCACCTCACCTCTGGAATTCAGCTCTTTTGTCCATGTTTGAACCAAAGCTGTAATGAGGTCAGGAGCTCAGTGACCCTAGCAAAACCCAAACTGGGCGTCACTGAGCAGTTTATTAGTGAGAAGGTGCTGCTTGATCACAATTGATGACACCTTCCATCACTTGACTGATGATCAAGAGTAAACTGACTGGGCAGTAATTGGCCAGGTTGGATTTGTCCCACTTTTTATATACAGGACGTACATGGGCAATTTTCCACATTGTTGGGTAGATGTCAATGTTGTAACAGTATTGGAACAGCTTGGCTGGGGAGCCACAAGTTCTGCAGCACAGCTTGTCAGTACTGTTGCTGGAACGCTGTCACGGCCCATAACCTTTGCAGCATCCAATGTCTCCAACTGTTTTGTGATATCACGTGGAGTGAATCAAACCGACTGAAGACTGGCACCTGTGATGCTGGGGACCACTGAGGGAGGACAAAATGGACCATCCACTCTGCACTTTTGGCTGAAGATTCCTGCAAAACCTTCAGCCTTATTTTTTGCACTGATGTGCTAACTCTTCCATCATTAAGGATGGGGATATTTGTGGAGCCTCCTCCTCCATTGAGTTGTTTAATTATCCACCATCATTCATGACTGGAGGTGGCAGGATTGCAGAGCTTCGATCTGATCCATTGGTTGTGATCACTTGCTGCTTATGTTATTTGACACACAAGTAGTCCTGTTGGCTTCACCAGGCTGACACCTCATCTTTAAATATGCCTGGTGCTGCTCCTGGCATGCCCTCTTGCACTCTCCATTGAACCAGGATTGATCCCCTGGCTTGGTGATAATGGTTGGAGTGGGGGATATGCCGAGCCATGAGGTTGCAGATTGTGCTGGAGTACAATTCTACTGCTGTTGATGGCCCACAGCGCCTCATGGATGCTCAGTCTTAGGTTGCTAGATCTGTTCGAAGACTGTCACATTTAGCATGGTGATAGTGCCACACAACACGACGGAGGTTATTCTCAATATGAAGGCAGGACTTTGTCTCCACAAGGACCGAGGTGGTCGCCACTTACCGATACTGTCACGGACAGGTGATGCACCTGCAGCTGGCAGATTGGTAAGGATGAATCAAGTATGATTTTCCCTTGTTGGTTCCCTCACCAACTGCTGCAGACCCAATCTTACATCTACGTCCTTTAGGACCCGACCAGCTCTATCTGTAGTACCGCTGCGAGCCACTCTTGGTGTTGGACATTGAAATCCCCACCCAGGGTACATTTTGTGCCCTTGCCATCCTCACTGCTTCCTCTAAGTGTTGTTCAACATGGAGGAGTACCAATTCATTAGCTGAGGGAGAACAGTACGTGGTAATCAGTGTGAAGTTTCCTTGCCCATGTTTAACCTGAAGACTTCATTAGGTCTAGGGTTAACATTGAGGACTCCCAGGACATTTCCCTCCCATCTGTACTACCCAGGACAGTGAGCAGCTGGCCAGGCTGAAACTCTTCTTGACATCTTCACCACGCATCCTGCAGTGTTGCTCTTCGAAGTTCTGCTGAAGAGGCAAGTGTTTTCTCAGGCTCTCATACACAGATCTCTGTGCGAACTGTATGCCTCATTTGGAATTATCTGTGCATATGGTCAATCCTGAATGTTTTGTCCAAGCGTAAGCCTTATTTGGTGGAGACAGTAGATACTGAATTCCTGTAATCTTAGCTTTTAACAGACCTGCATGACTCAGCGTAATTCCACTCATAACAGCCCATTGTAAAGCCTCCTATCAGTTGCTGTTATCTTCAGCCTTTTGTAACACAGCTCCACTTTATTTTGCAAGTTTTTTTTAAAGAGAAGATACAAGAGTACAACCACAGAAAAACAATGTAATATGTGAATTAGTATTAAAATTAGTACCATTAGTTCAAAGATATAATCTGAGGTAATAGTTACCTTTGTCTGCTGTGACTTGTAGTAATGGTAGAAGAACAAATTGAAATGTTTCAGATATTCCGGTTTCAACTCATATACACCATGCCCAGACAATCCTGGCTTTCTAGGGAGGAGAGAGTAGTTATTTGCTTGGTCTTGTTGAATTCAGAATGCCATTGCAATCCATCCTTTCCAGTTATAACCTGAATAAGCTTTCCATCATTTAAAAAAACAGAAGCAGTGACCCAGTGGTATTGTCACTGGGCTAGTGATTCAGAAAACCTGACTAATGTTCTGGTTATATGCGTTCAAATCACACCATTGTAGATGGTCAAATTTGAATCCAATCAAAATCTGGAATTAAAAAGCTGACCTAGAGGTGCCAATGTAACTACTGTTGATTGTTATAAAAACCTATCTGGTTCACTAATGTCCATCAGAGAAAGAAATTTGCCGTCCATACTTGGTCTGACCTACATACAACTCCAGATCCAGAGCAATGTGGTTGAGTCTTAACAACTCTCTAGAGGGTAATAAATGTTGGTCTGGCCAGTGATGCCCATATCTCATAAATTAATTTCAGAAAAAGCAATGGTCCGGTGTTTGACCACCCTCAGTTTCAAAGGAATGCAAAGTACTAGGTTTGGCAATGGCTTGACTGAAGAATCCACTAGTTAAAGCTAACATACTTACACATCAGTCAACCTTTGGGCTCCATTTCATATGTTTTATTCTTTTAGCCTTCGACTCTCCAGAAAAATCCATAAGACTGTGGAGCTATTCACCCACAGCTGGGAGTTTATTTCATCAATGTCAGTAACACAAGAGATGACATAATCAAGGGCTGTACTACCTTTCGAAAATTTAGAAGAAATTTTGAAGATTAAGGAGTGACTTGGTCAAAGTTTTCATGATTTAAGGGAAACTTCAAGTGGTCCTAGACAGAAACTACTTTTACTGATTGGAAAGTCTAGGACCAGGAGTTGTTGTCTAAAGATCTGTGCCAGACCTTTCAGAAGTGAAATTAGGAAACTCTCCACACAAAGGTGTGAAACGTTTTTCCAAAAATTACAATTAATGCTAGATTTTAAAGCAAAAATTGAACTGAGATTGGACACTTTCCTTAATCAAAGATATTGAGAAATGTGGAGCAATGTTAGGTCTGTGAAGTCAGTTCACAGATCAGTTATATCATCACTGAATAGTGGAACAGGTTCAGGTGACAAAGTGGTTGACTCTTGCTCCTATGCAATAATGAAGATATGCAGATATGTACACTCACAATCTTGAGCTTAGGAAATGTTGCAGAATTCTAGCAACAATGGGGAGGAAAACCACACAATGTCTTGTGCCCTAGTGTCCAAGGACATGTATCTTGATTGATGACATTAAACAATTCTGAGAAAAAAAATGAATTACAATATGCTTTTGGTGGAAATACCACAGTACTCCCTGAATTACTTTCAAAGTAACAATAAAATGCCTTTGTATCTCAATGATAGAGATAATGTCAGCCAATTTGTAAGATCTGAAGTTATCAAAAAAAGTGTTCCATGGAAAAAGAACATGGCCAATGTGCTGTAACACAGCAGCTGAAAATGGTCAGCAAATATACCTTGCTTATTCAAAAGGGGACAGAGTCAAAAAAAGCAGGAAACTACAGTCCAGGTAGCTTCACATCTGCCATAAAGAAGATGCTAGAAACTGTTATTAAAAACATTTTTGCATTGCACTTTGAAAAAGTCAAGATAATCTGGCAGACCATAAGAAATAGGAACAACAGTAGGCCATTTAACCCATTAAGCCTGCTCAGCCACTCAACAGGATCATGGCTGATCCAACATTCCTCACGTCCACTTTCCCGCCTTTTCCCTATAAACCTTTATTTCCCAACTGATCAAGAATCTATCTCAACCTTAAATATACACAAGGACTCTGCTCCCTCTATGACCTGCAGAGAAGATATACCTTCACATTGTCACAGAGGAGGGGGACAATGTCCTCTGGTCCTAGACTCTCCCTTTAGGCGAAGCATCCTCTTAGTATGTAGCCTGTCAAGCCCCTTAAGGATGCTATGTTACAATGAGATCACTTCTCATTCTTCTAAACTCCAGTGAGTAGAGTTAGTGCTTGCTCACAAGACAATCCCTCAATACCAAGGATCATCCTTGTGAATCTTCTCTGAGCTGCATCCAATGAAATAATGAATTTCGTTAGGTAAGGGGACCAAAACTGTTCACAGCACTCCAGATGTGATCTCACCAGCACTTTGTACAGTTTCATTAAGACTTCCCCACTCTTATATTCCAACCCTATTGAAATAAGGGCCAGCATTCCATTAACCTTCCTGATTATCCGCTGCAAGTAGGCTAGCTTTCTGTGCTTCATGTACAAATATCCCCAAGTTCCTTTGTGCTGCAGCTTTCTGAAGTTTCTTTCCCCCCCAATTTAAATAACACAGTTCTTTTGTTCTCCCTTCCACGATGAACTTCACATTTTCCCACACTATATTCCACTTTCAAACTTTTTGCCCACTTACTTAACCTCTTCATATCTCTGTTTGCATCCCTTTTGCAACCTGCTGTTTCCACTGTTTGTGTTGTCTGCAAATCTGGCTGAAGTAAAAATTTGTTTCTTTCCTCCAAGTTATTAATGCACATTGTAAATTGCTCAGTGGAACTCCACTGGTCACGTGTTGCCAACATGAAAACCTAAATCAATATGTCACGGAGCCAAGCAGGGAGCAGGCTATATAAAAACTGAAAGAACTGCAGATGCTGTAAATCAGGAACAAAAACATAAGTTGCTGGAAAAGCTCAGCTGGTCTGGCAGCATCTGGGAAGAAAAATCAGAGTTAACGTTTCGGGTCTGGTGACCCTTCCTCAGAACTGGTGTGAGGGAGCAGCTGTTCTTGATCTGGTAATGGGTAATGAGGCAGGTTTAATAAATGACCTTAGCAAAACATTCCCTTGGAAGTAGTGATTAACATGATGAATTTAATATTCAGTTTGAGAGTGAGAAATTTGGGTTGGAAACAACCATGTTTAATCTAAATAAAGGGAATCACAATAGAGTTAGCAAAAGTGGACTGGGCAGATAGATTAGCAGGAAAGACAGTAAACAAGCAGTGACAGACATTTAGGGTAATTTGTGACTACAAAGAGAATTGAACTCAAAAGTAGGGAGGTTATATTTCAGCTGTACTGGGCATTAGTGAGACCATGTCTGGAATACTGCATAGTGCTCCTATAACTTATTTATCTTATGAAAGTGGACAGGTCATAAAAAGATTTTCTCTTGTTAGAAATCGTTACTGCCTGGCAGTTATGTGATGTAAATATTCTTTGCCACTTGTCAGCCCAAACATAGATATTCTCCAGATCTTGTTGCATTTGGGCATGGGCTGCCTCAGTATCTAAGGAATTATGAATGGTGCCAAACATTATGCTGATATCCAGCAAACATCTGACCTTCTGGTGCAGTGAAGGTCGTTGATGAAGCAGCCGAAGATGGTTGGGCCTAGGACACACTACCCTGAGGAACGTCTGCAGAAATGTCCAGAAACTGAGATGACTGACCTCCATCAACCACAAACATCTTGTTTTGTGCCAGATATGACACGAATCAGTGGTAAGTTTGCTCACTGATACCCACTGATTCCAGTTTTGCAAACTCAGTCAAATGCAGCCTTGATGTCATGGACTGTCACTCTCACCTCACCTCTGGAATTCAGCTTTTTTGTCCATGTTTGAAGCAAGGCTGGAATGAGGTCAGGAGCTGGATGTACGTAACAGAACTCAAACTGAACATGCAGGTGTTGTTTGATAGCACTGTTGATGACATCTTCCATCACCTTACTGATGACTGAAAGTAGACTGATGGATCAGTAATTGGCTGGGGTGGATTTTACATTCAGGAAATACCCGGGTGAGGTTTCCACGTTGTCAGGTAGATGCCGGTTTTATAGCTGTACTGGAACAGCTTGGCTAGGGGTGTGGCAAGTTCTGAAGCACAAGTCTTCAGTACTATTATGGATATCGAAGGACTGGAATCGCGTAGATTTATCATTTTCTGGTTATGGTGTTTGGCACTCAAATAGTCCAGTTTTGTAACCTCACCAGGTTGATACCTCATTTTTAGAATGCATGGTGCTGGTCCTAGCATACCCTCCTGCACACTCCATTGAACCAGGATTGATCTCCTGGTTTGATGATAAGCATAGTCATAGAGTCACAAAAGTCTACAGCACAGAAAATGCCCTTCAGCCCACTGAGTCTGTGCCAGTCAAAAACAATCGCCTAACGATTCTAATCCCAGGACTTGGTCCATAGCCTTATATGCCTTGTCATCGTAAAATCAAAAGCCTCTTAAATGCTCTGAGGAATCTTGTATCTACTAGGCAGAGATTCCGAAATCCCGACAGCTCAAGTGAAAAACTTTTCAATATCCCCACTAACTTTGGCCTAACCAACATTTTATTCAGTTCCAGCATTGGCCTCAACTAAAGGTAAGCATCCCACATGCCTTTCCAATGGTTGAGTAGGTGATATGCTGGGCCATAAGGTATGCAGATTGTGGAGTATAATTCAGCTGCTGTTGGTGGTCAAGGCACGTTATGGTTGGCCAGTCTCGAGTTACTAGATCTGTTCAAAATCTGTCCCATTTAGCATAGCGCCACAAAACACAATGGAGGGTATTCTCCATGTCAAGGCGGAACTTTGTCTTCAAGGATAGTACGGCGGTCCCTCTTACCGATACGGACATGGATAGAAATATCTGCAGGCGGCAGATCAGAAAGGATGAGGTGGAGTGTGTTTTTCCCCTCTCATTAGTTCCCTCACCACCTGCTGCAGACCCAGTCTTGTGGCTATCTCCTTTAGGACCCAGTGGGCTCGATCAGTAGTACTGCCGCCAAACCACTCTAGGTGGTAGGCATTGAAATCTCTCACCTAGAGTACATTCTACACCCTTGCCACCCTCATGTTTCCTCCAGGTGGTGTGCAACATGGTGCAGTATTGATTGGAATGACATGGCAATCAGCAGGTTCGTTGTCTTGATGCCACAAGACTTCATGAGTCTAGAGTCAATGCCAAGGGCTCTTGGGACAGGTTCTCCTCAAGATACCAGTGCAATCACTTTTGCTGGGTCTGTCCTGCTGGTGGGACAAGGTTGGTGATGGTAGTGTTTGGGACATTGCCTCTAAGGTACGACTCTATAGGTATGACTATGTCATGCAGTTCTCCCAATTTTGGTACTAGATTTTAGTAAGGAGGACTTTGCAGGGTCAGTTATGCTTGCAGTTGTTCCCAGTGCTTTAGTTGAGGTCAGGTGGTCTGTTGTTTTCATTCCTTTTCTCTTTTCTAGTGGCTGTTACAACTGAAAGGCTTGCTGTGCCATTTCACAGGGCAGTTAGGAGTCAATCACATTATTGTAGGTCTGGAGAAAGACCAGGTAAGGTTTTCTTCCCTAAAGCACATTACTGAATCAGATGGATTTTTTCTGACAGTTGTGACATGGTCATCATTAATTCCAGACATTCTTTTTTATTGAATTCAAACTCCATCAGCTGCGACGGGATCTAAACCCAGGCAAAATAGACGTATTTGGAAGTGGCCATCTGATGTATAACACTTTCTGGGTCTCTGGATCAACAGTGCAGTCACAATCCCACTATGCCATCACCTCCTCTAGGTTGTTATGGGTATGTAGGAATGTGTAGTAATTAGATCAGCCACAATCTGACTGAACAGTACAGCAGTGTCAAGGGACCGAGTGGTTTATTTGTGCTTCTAATTCATACGATTGTACGTTCATATTGTTCACAACCTGTGTACCTACAGCAATAGCCAGTTAAGGTTCCCAGCATTATCAATGTTGGGAGTTTGAAATGAAAAATTGTAACTTATTGGAGTGGTAATTACAAATTAAAACATTTGTGAAAAAAGCCAGCTGCGACAAGTTACAGGAAGAGAGTTAAATGAAAAGCATACTTCTGACCTCAAAACTGGTGCTATTAGTTCAGACTGCTGAAAAAAACACAGGAATATAACTAGACTTACTTGAAAGTGGCCACCTGATGTATAACATTTTCCAAACCAGTTTCATTATTTTCCTGTTAAAATAATTTAACACAGACATCAATTTTCAGATTTTTTTTTTTCTAAAAGTGTACAATTACTACTGCAAGCTTATATCAAATTAACATTGTTCAAGCTATGTAAATTTTTACTGATGCGAGATGAGCAGAGAGCTCTCGGTGTCTATGATGAGCAGAGAGATCTTGGTGTCCACGTGCATAGATCACTGAAAGTTGCCACCCAGGTTGATAGCGTTGTTAAGAAGGCGTACGGTATGTTAGGTTTTATTGGTAGAGGGATTGAGTTTCGGAGCCATGAGGTCATGTTGCAGCTGTACAAAACTCTGGTGCGGCCGCACTTGGAGTATTGCGTACAGTTCTGGTCACCGCATTATAGGAAGGATGTGGAAGCATTGGAAAAGGTGCAGAGGAGATTTACCAGGATGTTGCCTGGTATGGAGGGAAGGGCTTATGAGGAAAGGCTGAGGGTCTTGAGGCTGTTTTCGTTAGAGAGAAGAAGGTTAAGAGGTGACTTGATAGAGACATACAAGATGATCAGAGGATTAGATAGGGTGGACAGTGGGAGCCTTTTTCCTCGGATGGTGATGGCTAGCACGAGGGGACATAGCTTTAAATTGAGGAGTGATAGATATAGGACAGATGTCAGAGATAGGTTCTTTACTCAGAGTAGTAAGGGCGTGGAATGCCCTGCCTGCAAAAGTAGTAGACTCGCCCACTTTAAGGGCATTTAAATGGTCATTGGATAAACATATGGATGATAATGGAATAGTTTAGGTTATATGGGCTTCAGATTGGTTTCACAGGTCGGCGCAACATCGAGGGCCGAAGGGCCTGTACTGCGCTGTAATGTTCTATGTTCTATGTTTGATCAAAAGGCCTGTTTATAATCGCCTTGTATGCAATGTGCAGTTCTACCAAACCAGTGTGCACTATTGAACAGCACATTTTGGGTTTCAGAAGGTGGGGTTGCATTACAGCAATTCTTATGAGACCAGTATTAGCTAACTAGTAAAGCTAAATGTGGTGGGTGGGTGGGTGGGGGGCGGAGAATGGTACGACAAAGGCATATTAAACCTATTCTGCAGTACGCTTCTATGTTCAACAATAGTCTGCAGTTAGCTTGCACCTTTAGTGCAGCAAAAAAGCCCCACAGATGTATTACAGATAAATTCCAGTCATAAATCAGCAGGTATTCTTAAGCTATTAATGACTACCGATCAGCTAAATTATTGTTTTCAGTACTGGCCACTAAACTCTGGGAAGTGGATCAAGGCTTTCAAGGCAGGAAGCAGGCCATTCAGCCCATTGAGTCCACACCACCTCTGCAAAGAGCATCCCACCTAGACCCACCCCATCCCTGTAACCTTACATTTCCTGTGGTTAATCCACCAATCTCCATATCCCTGGACAATATAGGCAAATTAGCATGACCAATCCATCTAACCTGCAGATCTTTGGACTGAGAGAGGAAACCAAAGCACCTGGAGGGAACCCACACAGACAAGAGGAGAATGTGCAAACTCCACAAAGACAGCCGCCCAAGGGTGGAATCGAGCCCAGGTCCTCGGTGCTGTGAGGCAGCAGTGCTAACCACTGAGCCACCATGCTGCCTGTTTAATTCTATGATTCCATAACTGCCAGAGAAACCAGGTCAGAGTTTACATCAGTGAGAATTTGCAATAGCGGAACATTTTTTTTAAAAATAAAATGAGAGGAACTATGCTCAATGTGTAGCGTAAGAAAGCAGACTACCAACGATCTAGGGCAGGAAGAAATCTGTAAACATGGAATACAGGCTGAGAAAACTATGTTCCCAAACTAAACCTAAAGCATGTTTATATATAATTTGCTTCCCTTGCTGAAGCATCAGCAGAAATCACTGCAGGAAATGTCACAATTCCACTTAACATTAATGACACACTATGTATCAAGATCCAAAAGTTCTGAAAACTGAAATTCTGCATCTTCTCCACCAGTCTGATTCCACTTCCATCCTCAACAACCTCCAATATCTAGTCAACTAATCGTATCTGTTTTTTAATATATCGTCCCACTGTCAAGTCCCGACCGCCACTTATTCCCCTCCACTCCTTAACACTGCCCCTGCCTTCTTCTGCTCCTCTGTAGCTCATTTAATACCGACGAGATTTATCAGAATGGTATAAGGAATGAGGGATTACGGTTATATGGAGTAAAAACAAAGTGCTGGACAAATGCAGCAATTTAGGCAGCATTTGGGAAGACAGAAACAGAATCAATGTTCCAAACTCTTCTTTAGGACAGTCATATGGACAGTCCAGAGAAGCTGGGATCGGAGATTTAATTGGTATTTCACAAATGTAGGTTTTAACTGAAAAGAGAAAGAATTTGTTGTTCCTGGTATGGAACTATGTAAGCAGGTGTGCCCTTTGGAATTTTCTAGATGTTCTCTTCCCAACTACTTTCAACATCACCACAAAACCCTCCTCTTTGACCGCGACTTTGGTTCTCCACACTAGCCTCCTATCCTTCAAAACAGTGCCTTACAAATGCAATTAGTTATTATCAAATTAAGTGGCAATGTTGTTTCAAAACAGCAGCACACAATGCCAGTTATGACAACAGGGTTATAAGAAGAAGAGAGAGAAGACCTGTGTGGAATATAAAGATCAGCATTGACAAGAGTGAGGGCTGAAAGGCACATTCTCAACTGTTTATTCTATGTTGTTCTATGCATAGATGTTAATAAAGGAGTTAAGATGTTGTAACTGCAAGAAGTTACATGGCGTCTAGAGCTTGTCAGACAACCCATAAGTTGGAAGTTATAAACAAGGAATGGATTGCATACCATGAACTTGCTTGGACCAGGTTAACAAATTAAGGTTAAATGTACTTTTCAAGTATTAAGGGTTAACTATACAGTTGCACTGCTTGTGATATCACCAACACTATCCATAGGGCTTTCAGCTCTGTACTGCAACACTTCTATTACATTATGAAAATTTAACGAATTGACACCATCACTTGGGGTGTGCAACAGAAAAACCCATATTAGCAAAGTTACTAGTCTATGAACATTTATAGTATGTGCCCCTGACATACACGCCTAAGTTCATTGATTCAAGTGTCATTTCAGACACGAGTACAACAATCTGGACTAATACTCTCCAATACAGGACAGTTGCACCGTCAGGGTTGCCATCTTTCAGATAAGACATTAAACCAAGGTGAACGTCAAAGAGCCCAAAACACTATTTCAAGGAACAGCAGAGGAGTTTGTTCCCATGTCCTGGTAACCATTAATGATTCCAACAAAATCACTAACACAAATAGTCTGGTTGTCATCACGTTGCTGTTTTTTTGGCACAGTGCTGTGATCAAATTGCTGCATTTATTATCTAACAATGGGAATTCACTGGCTACAGGATGCTTTAGCAGATGCTGTTGGAACTACTTAGATGCAAATTTCTTCATCTTTGCCTACCTCAAGGTTCAATACACTATGAAAACGTATCAAAATGAGGAAACTCACATTCTCAGGTAACGATTTTGCTAGTTCACTGTGAGGCATTGGCTCAATACAAAGTAAATGGATCACTTCCCTCAAAGTGACATCATCTTTCTTCACATGGCCCACTCCTGGAACATACCGCTCCCCTCGAGAAAAACAAAATGCAACAAGGATCAGCTACATCAGACTTTTGCATAAGGGTTTGCATGAATTAAACAACAGACATTCTTTCACCAGCTGCAAACTTGTCAACATTAATAAAATGTCTTTTCATAAATTCTAATATTTCCCCTCAATCAGGTTAGAAATACATTTTGTTCAATTGACTGTTGAAAAGGAAGACAAAGTGTTGAAGCAATTTATAATGTACAGTTAAATATGCACAGATTTCTAAAAAAAAATTGATAATTTCTAGTGTTACAAAGTTTGCGATTACACCAGATATTCCTTTGGGATTAGTGCCATCTCTGTGGTAAGCAGATTCTGTGTCTCTGATGATCAGATGCAGAAACACAGCAACAGGAGGTGGTCATTCAACCTCTTGAATCTCTGATCTAGCACACACTTGGGTCATAGCAGCTGCATACCTCAATTCCATCTACCTACCACTCCATATCACTAAATAGATTTGCCTTACAAAAATCTACCCAGTTCAGACATGTAAATGCTAATGGACAATCAGCATCTACAGAATTTGCCAGAGTATGTTCCAAGTTTCCAGTACCATTTCCATGTAAAAGCAATTTTACTCCTAAACAGCACTCATTTTAAAAATCACTCTATCCAAGTGAGAGGAAACAATTTCTCCTTATCATGTTAAATATTTCCACCAGATCTTGCCTCAATCTTCTAAACTCAACGGAATGCATGACAAGATTGTACAAAGCATTCTTATAATTTAACCACTTAAGTCCCTTTAAGTTATGCTGCATCTCTCAGGCCAAAACATCCTTCTTGTGGCATGGTAGCCAGAACTGAACATAATGCTTCAGATGAGATCTGCCAGAAATGTTGTACAACTGAAACATTTTGTACTCCTTTGTATCCCAAACCATAAGAGAGAAAATCCAACAAGTTTACTCATTTTTATTAACCTGTGCATTTGGTTTCAGTGAACTGGGACACCCAAATGCCTTTTTACAAATCAGAGTTCCTACTTTCAGATCATTAAAATATTTATTTTCTCAGATTTTTTATTTTCCCAGATCCAAAGTGATTGGCCTCTCACTTCCCCACATTGAACTCCATCCAGCAAACTTTGTCAACTCACTTAGCTGTCTGTGCCTCTTTGTAACTTTCTGCTTCTAACTACATAGAATAATTCTAAGTCCTAACTTAACACCATCAGCAACTCCCTATTCCATCATCCAAGACATTGATAAATATGGTGAAAGATTGTGAGGGATGAGTACAATGGCACAGTGGCTCAGTGGTTAGCACTGCTGCCTCTCATCACCAGGGACCCGGGTTCGAATCCAGCCTCAGGCGACTGTCTGTGTGGAGTTTGCGCGTTCTCCCCGTGTCTGCGTGGGTTTCCTCCGGGTGCTCCGGATTCCTCCCACAGTCCAAAGATGTCCAGGGTAGGTGGATTAGCTATGCTAAATTGCCCATAGTACCCAGGGATGTTTAGGTTGGGTGGGTTAGACATGGGAAATGCAGGGGTAGGGGAATGGGTCAGAGGGGTAATGTGGACTTGTTGGGCCAAATGGCCTGTTTCCACACTGTAGGGATTCTATGATCTTGGGAACACTACTTGTCACATCTTGCTCAATAGATAAATGAGGATAGGGTTTCCTGCTTCCCAATTACCTGAATGTCACCAAGCTAACTCTTGCATTTGTGGTTTTATTTTGAGTAATCTTTGGGACAGAACTAATCAAATGCCTTTTGGGAGTTACCTCCACAAAAAAAAATTAATTTAGATTCATCAAATAAAGACATGGTGCTAGTTAGGTAAAGATCTCATCTCCATCGTGATTATGGGGAAGAAGACCATCCCAAGTGGTCTGAGAGGCCTCTTGAAAGATGTGCTCTGTGGTTAACCCATTGCTGCTCACTCTATTTTCCCCCCTTTGTCCTCTCGGGCTTGGGAGGGTTCATCACAATAAAGACAATTTTCAATATTTTTTTTTTGACCTTTCTCCACTAATTTACTATTTTTGTTTTTGTTATGTCACTCCCCTTTTTTTCCCCACTTTGAAGCTGTTGCTGCCTATTACTGATAACCAGTGCTATTTGTCCTCGATTTTTAATCTCTTCCATTTTCTCTCCTTCGTGTGTTACTCTCCTTTATTA